AGGAAAATACATAGTTACAGTACAATAAACAACAAAGGTACTAGTGGGGTTAGGGTAGGGTAAGTATGTGTGTGTGTGTGTGTGTGTGTGTGTGTGTGTGCGTACATGTGTAAGTGTTTGAGCTTGTGGGAGATATAAAGCTGAGAAATATATACAAACATGTACACCTACATATACTCTTTCACATATATAGACCAGGATGCAATAACTATGACAATCAAACGGCAACTAACAATAAAGAAACAACGTACAAAAAGAATAGATAAGTAGATATTTGAAAATAATGACAATAACAATACTTATGTTGTGTTTTCCCCTGTGCTAGTGTTGCGTTAAAAAAATGTGTGGGGCCTAACAACTCCAGGTTGTTCACCCTCATTGAAAGGCCCCTCTCCACTTGCCCTGTGCTATTTGTGTTCGCTATTATTATTACCCTTACTATTATTATTATTATCATTATCATTATCCTTCGTATTGTTATTATTATTATTCTAATTATTCCATATCAATATTAATATTGTTATCATCATCGTTTATTGCCCAACTCACTATTGCCAATATTAGTGCCATTGCCATTGTCATCATTACCGTCACATTTCATACATTTTTCTATTGTAGTATTTTGTTGTCGCAGTTGTAGTAGGATATTTAACCATGATATTGGGTTATAGTGTGTGATTGTTGAGTCCAGTTGCTATGATTGGAGGAAGGAGAGGAATGGACAGGTAGATGTGTGTGTAGAGAGTTGTGAGTAGTTTTCAGTTGATAAATGATCTAACAGGAGGTGTTTCCAAGTGGTGATGTGTATGTTTTTTTTTGATTTCCAGTTGATTAGAATTACTTTCTTGGCGATTGTTAGCGACGCCAATAGTTGTTTTTTAAGGTATTGATTGAGGTCTAGTGTGGAAGTGTCTCCGAGTAAACAGAGGGAGGGGGACATTGGGGCGTGGCAGCCGAGTATGGAGGAGAGTGACTCAGTGACTAGTTGCCAGAAAGTGTTGACCGGTGTGCAATGCCAGAGAGCGTGGAGGTAGTCGTCTTTGTGATTTTGAGTGCAATGTGAGCATATTCCTGTGCTGAAACCCATTTTGGAAAGTTTGTGGTCTGTGTAGTGGTATCTATGAAGAACTTTGAACTGTATGAGTTGTAGGTTTGAGTTATTGGTCATGAAGTAAATGTTGTTACAGGTTTGGGTCCATAAATTGGCATCGGGAGCAAATGCTAAGTCTTGTTGCCATTGTGAGATTGGAAGCGAGTGGGTATTGTCGATTCTTGTAAGTAATTTGTATATTTTGGAGTTTAGGTTTTTGGGTGCAAGCTCCAGGAGATCTGTGATGAATGGGCTTGGGTCCAGGTCTATTGTATGAATATTGATTTTATTTAGGATTATTGATCGTAATTGTGAGTATTCTAGGAAGCATTTGCTCCCGATGCCATATTCCTGAGACAGTTGTGTGAGTGATGACAGTGTGTTGTTAGTGACAATGTGACCTAAGTGCGTTATACCTTTGCTTGCCCAGGATTGGAATATTAATGGTTTATTGTTGCTTGTGAATTCCGGGTTGTGCCAGAGTGGTGTATATTTGGATGGTGTGAGAGGGGTACCTGTTATGTGATGGAGGTTCCAACTAGGATCTTCTGAATGCGCTGGGACGATTAGCAGCAAAGTGTGAAGCGGCTGGGATGAGCATCAGCACCTCCACATCTGAGATCATGGAGCTCGACTGAATAAAGCATTGCCCTCTCTAGGTGGGTCCTTAAGTGGAGGTGTTCAAGTATCTCTGTGTCTTGTTCACAAGTGCGGGGAAGATGGGGTATGAGATTGACAGATGGATCTGTGCAGCGTCTGATGTTGGAATGTCTGGGTGTTTCTGCATAGACGACTTAGACTGCTGTCCTCACGGATAAGTGGAAGAAATAGTTGGATGACTGGGAAGGTGGCTCACCATCCGTAGTTCTAGCACTTTATATGTTTCTTTCAGAACATAATGAACAACAGTACCTCCCAGCTTCTCGTTCCGCCTGTCCTGAGATAACAGTTCCCTTAATCTTCAGCTTTGACCTGACATGAAAACATTGAGCTGTAGTTTGGATCTTTGCCCATCCACCCTCGTCCAGCCTGCTCTACCCACGCATCACTCTGACCACCGGCTTTGCCCCACTCCCACCAAAATAAACATGAGAAAGAGGTCAAGGATTACATACATTTGAAAATTAGTGATCAAACTAGACTGTTATCAAAGCTGGAACCAGGTAGATTGATTTACTATGTTTAGTGGTTCGAAAGTAACCAAGCTTTAATATAACAGTGCTGTATTTTCTAACAGTGATCTCTTCTAGTATATGTGGCATAGTAATTAGTTATGTTTCAGTTACCGGGTTAGGGGTCAGTTAAGGGTCAGTTCCAGAGGAAATTAGTGGAGGCTTGATAACAATATTAATGACAAAATTGCAATTTCTGTGTTTTCTGGATCCTGCTTAGTGGTCATTGTCTCTTGGATGGACTCTTGCTAAAAATGAATATGAAGGAATTGAATGAACATTGAACAGCATCGCAAACTGAGATATAAAAAAAAAGGTTTTGAGCTTACACTACCTTAAATATATATAATACTAGGAAGATATACATAAGTAACATTGGTACAAAACATGGCTGTTTCTGTATGGCCGATTGGTTTCTTCCCTTTTACATCAAAACGTGAAATGACCAAGTGCAAAAATAAAGAATGAAATCTAATCTTTTGCAGGGACCTGGAGCCACTTTCAACGCGCAATGAATAATTTGTGCCTCTCCACATGCCTTCTTATTGTTCTGATGGATTTCTTTGACCCCCATCTCAAACTCAATCTGTGCCTGTTCATCTGACACCAGGACAGATGCAGCCCTGCTTCTCAGCTCTGGATCTGATTGGTTTCGGAGCGGCGAAGATCAAAGACAAGACAAAACAAAAGAGAAAAGATGTGAGAAGAAAAGCGGCGGGAACAACATATTGTCACCATGATTATTTTCACCCGTAAAATGAACTAAAACTATACCAAGAGTTCACATCATCTGCTGTTGCAAAATGTGTAGCCACTATATGAACATGGACAGATATTTTCAGTGTTGAACGCAGCTCAAATAGATGATCAAATCCCAGGGGTGTATAGTGTGTACTCCCCTCTGTGTTGTCAAATCACCTTTGACTTGTCTCCGGTTCCCTTTGTAAGATGATGCGACATTCCTTCACTGGTCACTGCTCTCATCTAAGGATTCTTGATTTTACCCAAGAAACAAACACCAAGGGGAAAAAACAATCGCACAACCATTATGCCAATGCACATATGAGCAAGTTAAAGTCCAAATAGGAGTGGGAAGAAGCGTGTATTGCCCCACTCCTTCTTACCACTCTGTTTTTCCAAAACAATTTAACATCTTCTTGTGAACAGTGTATACAGTAAATGCTAAAAGTTGCTTTTTTCCTTTGCATTTTAACTATAAAAAGTGAAGAAAATGACAAAAGATGCAGAGGTCTGGAGTCGTGTGAGTCTTGCAGCGTGGACATGGGTTTTTAGAAAGACAATCTACCACAGTGCCAATAGATGTTAGCTTCGACCTTCAGATGACCAAAACATCAAGTGGAAAAGTACTGACTTCAATTCAGTTCAATGTATTGTTGTATAGCCCTGAATCCCAACAGTAGTTATCTCTGAGGTTTACACAACTGTTGATTTTGCCAACACAGATCAGAGAATCAAACAGGTAAAGCACAAGAAATGCAATGATAAAATACAAATAGAGCCATTGGTCCATAAGAGGCAGATGACCAATGTCCACACATTTTGACAAATGTCCATACATTTTGACAAATGTCCATACATTTTGTTGCATGTTGAGTCATGGATCATCACTACTGTCCATATATGATACCCCTCTGAATCGGCAAGGAAAAATAGTAAAATGAACAGTTTATGACCTCAAAAGGTCATAAACCTTTTGAGAGGCCCACAGACTTCTGCATAATGTTGTAAGGATCAACTGATATTGAACTATATCAAAAATGTCATAAAAGATCCATTTAAAAGTACTTAAAGGACAACTCACCCTCAAATCCACTTTTTTTTGCTGATAAACGGTATAAATGAGTGTCCAATAGTGTTGTCTACATATCCTGGTCATAATCTTGTCACTTTGGTGCAAATTAGTTGAAAGTTAGATTTTCTGCCTAAAACCGTCTGTGAGGCGCCATCTGCTGGCGACCTGTATTACTACATTTGAATTTTGAATCTGGCGCCAACACTGGCACAGAAGTTGGACCTGACGTCAGCAAGTTGGACCTGACGTCAGCAGCCCCCCGCCCAGAGCAATGTAAACGGCCCAGTCTGGCACGAGGAGGATGATGGCGGCGAGGCGGTAAGCACTGTGGCAGAGCAGCTCCCGACTTTTGTGGGGGAAAAAAGCATCTTTCATCTCAACTGAAGACACGCACTATAATGAGTAACCCCTCGACCAAGCGCAAAAGTGAAAACAAACCACCTGTGACTCCGACTAAATCTCTTAACAACAAAAAAGGTAAAATGGAGCAAGAAACCGCGGACAGCATAGTGGCGGCGCTAAAGCTAGCTATCGAAGAGCAAGGTTCTACCATCGGAAAGTCCATTGATGAGCTGAAACGATCTGTTGATTTTCTCTCGGCAGAGGTACAAGACATAAAAGGGACAGCAAGGAAAACTGAACAAAGAGTAGACAAAGCTGAAGAAATGATCCAACAGCTTGAAAGCAAAGTGGTTGAATTGGCGCGTTACAAGCGTAGATGGAATTTACGTTTGCGCGGGCTGCAAGAGAGAGAAGATGAAGAAGTGAGGCGCGCTGTGATTGAGATTTGTCAAAACGTAGCCCCAGGCTACAAGGACAAATTTAAGGATGTGATAGACTCGGTAGACCCAATTCAACCAGGTCCCAACCGAGAGATATTATCATCCAGTTCTCTATGAGGCACTATCGCGACGCCATTTGGAAGATGTCAAAGAACCACGATCATCTGAAACAACGACTTCTGCGCTTCAAGGAGGACCTGACGCCGGAGGACCGCGAAAAACGAAATCGTTTGTGACCCCTCATCCAGAAGGCCCGGGAGGAAAAGAAGATTGCCTACTTTGTCGGGGGAAGAGCCTTTATCGACAACAAAGAAATATTTTGACATTAAGATGCTGATCTCAACTTCATAAGGGAATAAGCTCTGCCTTCTCATGTCACTTCTTTCCAAGTTAAAGAAGGAACTGTTCTGACTGTTTTTTATTTTTTATTTAAACATTTCTCTGTTGAAATTTATTTCTGTTAATGCTCGAGGCTTAAGGGACATTTCTAAACGCAAGGCAATTTTTCTCTATGCTAAAAACTTTGATGCAGACTTTTGTTTAATTCAGGAATCCCACTCATCTGATGAAGATTATAAGTTTTGGAAGTCACAATGGGGAGAGGACATTTGGATGTCACATGGCAATCACCACTCAGCAGGAACTCTCACTTTGAAACATAAATTCAACGGAAAGGTTATTTCTACTCATACAGACTTAAATGGTCATTATACTCTCCTGGTATTTGCTCATAATAATCAGATATTTCTCTTGGGGAATGTGTATGGCTATACTAATGTAAAGGAAAACAAAGATCTAATTCTAGATTTAAATGACAAAATAGAAAGTATTATTGAAAAGTTTCCAGATGTAAAGATAATTTTCGGGGGAGATTTCAATTGTACATTTAATGATGAAATTGACAGGTATCCTAACAGACAAAAAGTTAATGATTATTTGAATGAGTTTATCAATGAAAGAGGCCTAGTGGATATATGGAGAATCAACAATCCGAATAGCAGAGAATTTACTTGGAAAAATAGAGTTGGTTCGCTACAATCCAGAATTGATTTCTGGTTAGTTTCCGAATGCTTAACTCAATTAAAATGCAAAAGCGAAATTATTCCAACTCCTTTAACTGACCATGAAGCTATTTCACTTACCTTACAGATATCACCAAATGGTGAGCCCAAAAGATGTCCAGCCTATTGGAAACTTAACAACTATCTTTTACTAAATGATGCACTTTGTGAGTTGGTAAACAATAACATCTCTCAATTCTTTAAAATGGCAGAGACCGCAGGTGAATATCAAAAATACTGGGAGCTCCTAAAATTTGAACTGAGGACGTTATTTATGAAAACTGGAGCAAAACTTAAAAAAGAGAAGAAAAAAGAAGAAAATGACCTAATCAATAAACTAGTCTCTTTATCTTCTATCTTACCAGAAAATATGTCTGATTCTCAACAAGCTCAGGCTTCAACACTCCAGTTAAATTTAGATAAGCTTTACATCAATAAAGCTAAAGGAGCCTTTATTCGATCCAAAGCAAAATGGTTAGAAGAAGGTGAACAAAACTCAAGTTACTTTTTTAAACTAGAAAAACAAAGGCAAACAAAAAATAACATAAACAGACTCTCCATTAATGGTGCCGTCACAGAAAATCCCAAAACTATTTCTAAATTTTGTGAACATTTTTACAAAGATCTATACAAATCCAACTTCTCACTAATGCATATGAATGAATTCTTTAAGCATGTAGATCAGGTGAAATTTATTGGGGATTCAAATCAAGCAATTTGTGACTCACCAATTACAGCTTTGGAGATATTTGATGCTATTAAAAAGCTTAAACTGAACAAATCTCCAGGTACAGACGGGTTAACCTCTGAGTTTTATAAAGCCTTTTCTCCTCAGCTTGCTCCATTTCTTTTAAAAGTATTTTCAGAAAGTATAAACAAAGAACAACTTCCACCTTCACTATGCCAAGGCTTGATTACCTTAATTCCCAAACCTCATAAAGATGTTGCTCTATTGGACAATTGGCGTCCCATAACACTTCTCAATAATGATTACAAAATTTTAGCTCTTTCTCTTGCAACTAGGCTAAAAAAGGTGCTTCATTGTGTAATAGAGGAATCCCAGAATGGTTTTATGACTGGGCGATACATTATTGACAATATAAGACTCATTTTAGACCTGTTAGATTACTCTGATTTAATCTCAGAAGATAGCTTTATCTTATTCTTGGACTTTCAGAAAGCATTCGATTCGGTGGAGCATACATTTTTGTTCAAAACATTAGATCTTTTTGGCTTTGGTGAATTTTTTAAGAAATCTGTTCGAACCTTGTACTCTGCTGCAAATAGTTCAATCAAATTACCTCATGGGACTACGGGTAGGTTCAATGTTGAACGCGGTATCCGCCAAGGATGTCCCCTAAGTGCCTTCCTATTCCTTTTACCTATGCAAATTTTAGCATATTCAATTCAAAATAGTTGTCTTAAAGGTATTACTATTGCTGGCAGAGAAATAAGGTTAAGCCAACTAGCTGATGACACCACGCTTTTTTTAAGAGATGCCTCTCAAATAGATTGTGCTATAAAGCTATTAGATATTTTTTCATTAGCCTCTGGTCTCAAACTCAACCTTTCTAAATGTGAACTATTTCCTGTCAAAGACTGTTGTCAGTCAGAAATATTAGGAATCCCTGTGAAACAAAAAGTGAAATACTTGGGAATTACTATTATGAAAGATGAAAACTTAAGACCAAGAGAAAACTTCAATCCCCTTACTTTGCTAATACAAAAGAAATTTAATATGTGGCTATGGAGAGACCTGTCTATTTCTGGTAGAATATTACTTTCCAAAGCTGAAGGTCTTTCAAATTTAGTTTATGCCAGCTCAGCACTTGAAGTCTCTAATGACATAAATACAAAGGTAGACAAAATGTTATTTGACTTTATTTGGAAAAAAAAGTCACACCTTATAAAAAAGGATGTAATGATTAACAAGCTATCCTTTGGTGGGTTCAATGTTCTAGATTTTAAAACCTTGCATCATTCTTTCAAAATCAAATGGATAAAAAGATATTTACAGAATCCAAATTCTTTATGGAATTTCATTTCTACACATGTATTTGAAGCTTTAGGAGGTTTACATTTTCTATTAAGGTGCAATTATAAGATAGAAAAATTCCCCGTTAAACTTTCTAATTTTCACAAACAGTTATTGTTATCCTGGTCTCTAGTTTATAAGCACAATTTTTCACCTCACAAGTATTGTATTTGGAATAATATGGATATATGCTTTAAGCACAAATCACTTTTCTTACAAAAATGGGTTAACCATGGTATAATTTATGTACATCAGTTATTTAACAAAAGAGGCATAACGTATTCTTACAATGAATTCTTGCATGTATATAATTTCCCAGTGTTGCCAAAGGAATTTGCAATTGTTTTTGATGCTATTTCGTCAGGTGTCAAAATATTGATGTCAACCTATGTTCACAATCCTACCATAGATTTATCCCGAGAGTTATATATTGGTAATTCTGACCCCTTTTTAAGTGTCAAAACAAATAACAAATGTATTAGAGAGCTCATCGTAAGAGACTCCATTAGGAAACCAGCTTCTATATTTGTGTGGGACAATTTATTTAATGATATTGAATGGGACTCTGTGTGGCTATTGCCGAAACATTTTTTTGTTACCAATAAGATTCGTGAAGTATGCCTCAAGATTTTGCATAGATGTTACCCGGTTAACAGTGTAATATCCAAATATCGTTTAAATGTTGACCCTCTTTGCTCATTTTGTCATGTCACTGTAGAATCAATCAGTCATCTTTTCTGGGAATGTTCTTACACACAAGTATTTTGGAAAGACATTAATCTATTTGTGAATAGAAAACTTACCATAGATTTACAACTAAACCTTAAAGATATTTTGTTTGGTATTTATTTAAAAAATCTCCCTCCAAACAAACGGTTTATTTCCAATCTAATATTAATACTGGCCAAGTATCATATCCATAGCTGTAAGTACCTCAACCAAAAACCCAAACTGGTTGTATTTGAATCACTAATGTCCTCTTATTTGACCTCGTTGAAATATTGTACTAATGTCAAAGCCATGAAGACCAAAGATGTATGTAACGAATTTGCACTGTAAAAAAAAAAATATATATATATATATATATTTTTCGTATCTTATATATTTTTGTTTACACTGAAAGCTGAAGCCTTGCATACCTGAGCCTCGAGCCTTGTTTGTTATTTTTGTATATTTTTCAATAAAAAAAAAAAATAAGCCTAAAAAAAAAAAAAAAAAAACAAACAAAAAAAACAAAAAAAAAAAACGGCCCAGTCTCGTTCACGCCCCCTTTAGTCCTCCAGGCTACGCCCATTTAGAGGAAGATTTGAACAGGAAATGTGAGAAACGTAAGCTCCGAGGAGCGGGGGTGAGAACCACTTTAAGTTATTCAAAGTCCATAGTAATTAGATATGACAAACATGAAGGGGCCAGATTAATAATAATAAAAAAGAATAAGCTAATAAATAAAAGAAAACATAACAGGTTATGGCAAACATGTGGATAATACTGACCAAATATTGAATGGAAAAATCCGTTTGAAGTTTATTTGACGTTGACATATTCACAGGTTTTATAAGTGAATAGAATCAATGAGCTGGTCTATTTTGGAAAATGTAACTGATGTGAAGTTGTGTAATGTTATGCAACGTTTGTTCTCGCTGACATTGCAGGCTCTTTCTGTCAATACCAACATTTGTTTTTTAACTTTATTGTCTTTCTATGTCTTCAAATAACAACAGGCTGAATGAACAACTTCTGGAGAAAGAGTGGGAGCAGAACCAAAACACGCGGCTTGTGCTGAAACTTTTGGGAAGTGAGTCCGTTGGGGGAAAGGGAGGAGGCGAATAGGTCCAACGAACACGGCCTCACTGGGGGGAGTGACTCGGAGGGAGGTGGTCACGGGTATAAACAGCAAACTACCACCGCTCTTCGTTTTGAGCAACTTCTGCGGCCTGTGCGTAAGGAGCGTGCGGACGGACCAGCTCCAAGTGCGCGGCTGCAGCTTCGTCCACCGTGCGTCATACCAAACTCCCCCAACCCCCCCTGCCCCCCTGCCCCCCTGCGGACATGGCACCTGTCTGGACCCGGGCTCTGGCGCTCACCGTGGCGTTAGCGCTTCTACAAACAGCGACGTCCGCAAGCATCAACGACACGTGAGTGCAAGTTCGGCTGGTCCAGCACACGTCCAGGTGGCGTTTTTTGTTTAGTGCGTCACGCTGAATGCACACGTCAGGCCGGTATATTCTGGACATCAGCAGCATCCCAGCGTGCAGCCTCAACCCCCTTGGGCTCTTATTATGCAATGTACTTATGTTATATTGAACTTTCCTTATAAAGTTTGTGTTGTCCATGAGGATCTCACAATCAGAAGCATCTCTGGTTCTAGACATTCACTTCAATGTGGATTGCTTCTGTAGGCCTGTTTCAGTTTCCCCCATAACTGCTGTTAAATATATCAGCATGGCATAGTCTGTAGTTATTATCAAACACTATATATATGGGCTCTTTCATTTAAAATATTTGCTGAATTTAGAATTATTTCATTTTTGTTTCATTTGTGCTCTGTGTTTTGTACTTGTTGTATTTAAAGGTGAATATAGGAGGATTTTCCCTAATTTTAGGAAAAAAAACGCCCCCTCCACTTTTTGAACAAAGCTTTCTGGTCTTATTTGACGAGCACATATCACCAGGATGATTGACAATTGTGTGGACCAATAGTCTTGAAGATCCACCCGGAAGCAGAAAATCCTCTTATATACCTTTAACTCATGAGGACCACTGACAAAGCCTATAGTGGAGGGGTTGATTCATCTGTGTGGGTTCTTGATGCTGCTGCTTAACTGTCTGGTGTTTCCATGACCCAAATGCCTTTCAGAGATGAGCATGTATCGGTCCAGTCAAAGAAGTTTCGTCATCACTTTTTCTCTGAGGCAAAAGCGGCATCAGCATTCTCCACAGCATCACCAAAACTCAATTAAATGTGTCCTTTAGTTCTCATTGGCAGTGGACGGGCTGTGCGTGCCAACCAGGCTCCAACACTACCTCAAACACTAATCAGCAGAGGGCCTGTGGCTTCACATAATGGTTATTTAAAATCTGCTCAGGCCTGAACAGATGAACATATCTCTTTCATCAGTCTGAGACTAAACTTTGTTCAACAAGTTTCTGCTAACTGTTGTTTCTTATATGAACCTATATTTGCACCAACAATATACTGCTACAGTACATCCTCTGTGACAAGCTTCTGGAATGGAGAAGTTGCATTGTGCTTTAAATTAAAAACATGGACAAAGCGTTTTTCTGTTTTCCCTGCTCTGTCCCTGCAGGATATTTGTGGTCACTGTGAGCTCTCAGGTCAAAGCGGCCGCTCCACAGACGTTGTGTGCACAGGTCCATAGGCCTTCAGAGCGTGTTGTCCTGACTGTGGCTCTGGAGCTGGAGTCCGGCAGCAGCACTCTGCTGGAGGAGAACACTGAAGAGGACTTCTACCGCTGTATCACCTTTCAGGTATGACTCAACACTGTGGAAACCTTCAGATACTTTACGCTCATTATTTGGATAACTTTCCCAGAAAATACATCATTATGTCCTTTCTGAAACCTCAAACTACAATTTGGACAAATTATACAGATTTTGGCTTGATTGTATATCATGTATTGGCTCCAGCAGCACCAGTGCTGACAATCTAATGGTTGTTGAGTATAAATTGCAGCTCTGGTTTCGGTCAGACCACTGCACACTCTTACGCAACGCACCCTGATGCTAAACGGCCCACGACCCCCTTCTCCCTGTGACAATGGCAGTGTGTGTGGACCTCCTGCTGCTCCCCTGGCATTTGTCAATAGTCCACAATGAGAGCTTTCTGCCAGAGGCCAAACGTGTACCTGCATTCCTCTGGACTACAGCCTCCGCTGCCCCAGCGCTGCCCAAAACCACAGCGTTTGGGACACGCTCCAGCATCGCTTATGTAATAGCAACACATTAAGAAAAACATGTGCGATACAAGTATGAGCACTTATCCCAAATTACCTTGAGCGATGGAGGGAGGCTAATGTAACTTTAAATGTCTCTACAGCCAGATGGGAATGTGCAACATTACAGAAAACTGCCCGTTTCCAACATGTTAAAAAGCACTGTGTTCATCACCTGAATGTTTCCAAACCTCAAATAATGACACAAACTTCCTGTAGAACCAAAGAAACACTTATGCCCTAATTACAACAAATAATACATCTGTATTGCTTTTCAAATATTGGTTCCAAAGATACATTCTTTGATTTCCAAAATGATGATTGCAATAATCTTGCAATGAGGAACCTGTTGTGTAGTGGTTTAAGGTATTGTGAATGTTATTTTATCAACACTTTTCAAGCTTTTCTCCTTTTAAATCATGTTATTCTGGTTGCAGTCCCCTATTATTTGCCGCTTTGACAGATGTGGTGTGTTTCCTGCAGGCCCCAGTGGTTCTCAAGAGAACAGTAGCATCCATTAACGCGACGCTTCAGGGCGAGAGCGGCGCGTTGAGCAAAAAAGTCAAAATACTGATAGAACCTGCGACTTTCATTCACATCATTCAGACGGACAAACCCATCTACAAACCAGGCCAGACCGGTACGTACACTCCAACAGCCCATATGCAGCCTTCTCTCTGCACTGCTCAGAAATTCTGCTGCAGTTGCAACATTTTGGACTACTTTAGGAAATCTGCATAATGCTGATTCTCAACTTGACAACTTTAGGAATTATGTCTATATTCAGCAGTTAGGCAGAGAGGTTCCTCAACAGATTATGCTTGTGGATGTTTGTAAATCTGAGGTTTTTTTTTTTACTGAGCAGAAAAAAATCCATCCATTTTTAAGCTCGAAGGGAGCAGTAAATTACCACATTATTCTGCATGACTGAATCAGTGAAAACGGGAAATTAACGACTAATTGGGAGATTTAAACTAGAATATGTGGTGCATTCTGACTGATCATTTCCTATTGTTTAAAGTGACTAACTGCTGTTTTGTAAATAATAATGAATTTCAAAACAGTAGTGTGCCAGTGACATGCCATTGTAGATCCACATAATTAGTTTTCAGTAGATGTATATATCAACCAATTAATAGAGGCAGTAAAATTGTAATTGTTTTCTTTGTTATTGATTAACTCCTAAAGTATTTACGGCACTTTCCACTTCATTTAAGTCCAATTATTTGCACATTATACACATTAACATAATCATTTCAAAAACATCTCCCTAAATACTTTTTATACTAAATCAAATGAGCTGGTCCAGCAGTGTTTTTTTTTTTATATCATGTTTACACCGACTGTGTCATTAGGGTTTTTGTAATATTTCCCTTTCATACGTCTGCACAAAAATGTCAATCTCTTGATTCATGTCTTACATTGGTTTGTCCTTTCAGTCAAATTCCGGCTGACCTCCATGGACATCGACTTCATTCCTGTGCAGAGAGTGGTAAGTTTGATTCATTTGATTTTTTTGGAAAACTCCACAGTCCCTAGAATAATTTATAACGACCCAAAACTTTAGCTTAAGCTTCAACAACTCTCGTATCTCGCACTCAAGTTCTCTGATGTAATGAAGACCCGCAGCCTCGTTCCACAGATATATTTTCGTCTGCACCTGAGTGTTGGTTTTTCTATTTGTGTACAAAGTTTGTGTAGTGCAGCCAGCGCGGTGTGTGTGTGTGTGTGTGTGTGAGGGGTATTGAGGAGCTGGGTGTATTTTGGTTCAAAGAGTGGGATGCAAGCGAAAGGCCTGTTTGTTGGTTTTAAGGAGAGAGTGGGAGTGCTGCGCCGCGTGGACTCCTGTGATAGACTCGTATCAGAGTTCATTTGGAACACAGCACATCTGACCTAAACATCTGGATCAATACCAGCTCTGGGCCTTTTCCATCCGGGACCACTCACATAAGCGCAATCACATATCAACCGTCAATATGCTGGAATAGTAATGTGTGTGTGTGCTTGTCTTTTTCAGTATAAAGTCATCGAGCTCGAGGTAAGACTCATTTCATCATGTTTTTGGCTGCAGAAAACATTGCAGGTTGTCTCTGATTTTTCTGCATCAAACTGACAAGATAAATACTGTAAGGAGGAAAAAGCCCACACGAACACAGGCTAAAGTCATGGCAAGATTTTAGCCGCTTCTTCAAACTGCAATAGCAAATTTGAATCAATCAAAATCAGCTTAAAAGTTGTTCAAATACTGTGATTTTAATTAAGATTTTTGAGTTATGATTCAACCTGATATACACATTGTTTGCCCCAACAGTATTTCTTGTTTAAGTAACATTGTGAACAAATCAGACTACAACACACTGGCTTTATCTTTATTAGAATGTATCTTTTACATACTGATAGCTGATTGGTGGATTTTAAATGTGTGACTGAGGCCCAAAACGCATTGTAACCGTACAATTTTGGGAACAAGGAACTATTTACTAATATTTCCGTGGGTATAATTACGTGGGTTTCTTGCGGTAAAAAAGGGAAATTCAGCTACTTTTTTAGGTGAAAGAAAGTAGATTTATTTATTTTTTGTATATTTGACCTAGTAGTGGGTCTCTAGGATGCTATAGGATCAATTGTTTCTCTGATGTTTAACCCCTGAACAAAAACCCACAAAATCTTTATTTAAAATTTAAAATTCTATAAATGTAATTTATCTTCTGCACTGTAAAAAAAACCCTGTGGACTAGTGTTGAAAATTAGCACCTGTGCTATAACACTTAGAGCAATGCATCTGGATCGTCCAATGTTATTGTTTTGTCCATGTTAAATAAATAAATAAAATAATTTATCCTGGAGCGCTGATCCTGGAACATAACCATGATCAAAAGTTAAGGCCCCAGGCTGCCCACTCATATAGCCACTGGGTTACTACATGGTCAAATATGGAAATATATCAACTATTTATCAATCGATTTTTTTTTTTTTTTTTTTTTTTTTTTTTGTATCCCGAACAGTTTGACAAATTATATTTTCATTGAGCTCTCAGACACAGAACATGTTTCATACCTAAAATATGTAATTACAAACCAAACCGGTGGCATTGTGAAATCTTCTGTTTGTCATTTGTCATTTAGCATTTGCTTGTTGCCTGTTATGTGTTTTCTATGCTCCATTGTGCAGGACCCCAGCACAAACCGCATTGCTCAGTGGTTAGATAAGAGCGTCGATGGAGGCATCCTGGACCTTTCACACCCGATCATCCCAGAGGCCGCACAGGGCACTTACACCATCACTGCCACCACTGAGCAGGGGGAGCAAGTGCAGCACAACTTTGACATCAAGGAATACGGTCTGTTCCACATTCACATTCCTATACCCAGGCTCTAATGTATTTGTCTTTTTAAAATGGTTTATGCTCAACAGTTTTGCCTAAATATGAGGTGAAAGCCCAGCTGCCAAATGTGATCTCCATATTGGACACAGAAGCCAACTTTAAAGTCTGTGGAAAGTGAGTACCAAAATGTGAACAATTCCTGAAGCCCTTTAATAACAAATTAATTAATTATATTACCAATATGTGTGTTCACTTTTTTATTCCAATGAAATCCAGATGATAAGAAGTGCTCGGATCCGGCTCAAATACAATAACAATATTAATACTTTGCCTTTAAGTATCTGCCCGTGCACAATATCATAATTTAAATTGTAACCTATGATGAATTAGATACACAATGTCATGATTTTTTATTTTTGATTCTGCAACTAACTTTGCACAAATAAAAGCCATAAGCTATCATGCATTTCATACATCTTTAAGAAAAAGAAAAAACTAATTGGCCACAAAAACTTATTTTTTTTAGATGTAATGAGACAGGAGATATGAAATGTATAGTATTGCGGAAAATTGGACAAAAGCCAGAGTGGTGGCTATAACATCCCATGATTGAAAATAAAAAATTTGAAATCCAATTACGACGACTTCAAAAATAATGCAATATCTCTAAAATTCCTCCCCCTGGCCATGATCACTGCCAGCAGCTCATTCCGTACCATTGCTCCTTACCACAGGTACACTTATGGAAAGCCCGTGGTTGGCTCGGTCAAAGCTGCGTTCTGTCGGAGAGCGTTTCGAGGATACTGGTACAGCGGCAACAACCAGGATGTGTGCAAAAACTTCCAACTCACAGTAAGCATCACAGATTTACCAAACGCTGAATTCTGCAACTATAAATTTCTACTTTTGTTTAGACAGACAAAAGCGGCTGCACTTTTGGAACTGTGGACCTGTCAGAGTTCTACCTCAACAAGAGCGGATATCATGACAGCTTTCATCTCGAGGCAGAGTTGCAGGAGTTTGGCACTGGTATTTTAATTCTGTTATTAATTATTGATAATATTGAGTCACTATCTCTTTGAAATACACAATCTGTTTACTTTGGTTCAGGGGTGACCCTAAAAGGCAGCGCTCGAACCAGCTTTACCAATGACATCAGAACCGTCACTTTTGAGGATGTGCCAGAGTCATACAAACCTGGTATTACCTTTGAAGGGAAGGTAAATATGAATTCTTCTTCATTATTATTATTATTATTATTATTATTTGTAGTATTATTCCGCTGATTTTCTTTTAACCACCAGCAGTAACTGTCAATTTTAACATAACAAATCATAGGGAAAAAAGTAATCTTTTGCATACTATGTGCTGTGATGGAGGTCAAAAAAGACATATTGATGATGGAAACAAACTGTTTTGAAGACCCTCTGGAACACATCTCTAGGACCTTTTCCTCCAAAGGAATAAATGAAATGTTAAACACATTTTTGTGTGGTTTGAAGGTTAAGTGACCTAAGGTTCGGTTGTAGGTGCTGGGTGAGTTCCCATGGTTGTTTACAGAATAGAAAAGATGCATTATTTAACTTTTGCTGTGAAAACTCATAAAATGTGTCACTTTACATTGAAGTGTTTAAGATAATGTTTTTATTGTGTAAATGTTATCAATACCTACAAAAACATGCATAGAGCAGAATCCACCCCCGCACATCTGATTATGGCCTGGTGGTAACTTGTACTTCTATATTTAGATAAATGTTTAATTTCATATAAAGCTGACGGACCCTCCATCCACGCATGTTTACCTTCTGACTGGTTTCTGTTGAAAATGTGTCTCTTTTCAGGTCAAAGTGGTCGGCCCTGACTCTAAACCTGTTGCAAATGAGAAAGTGTATCTCACTGCAAGTAAATCTCCAGAAAACCACACGCTCATCACAGACAACAAAGGAATGGCCTCCTTCTCCCTGGACACCTCCCTGTGGAAAGACTCTGTCACTGTCTTTGTAAGTTTAGCCTCTTTCAGCTCTCATCACATTGAATCTTAAAATAATCCTGTATTATTGCAAATAAATAGCATTTTAATGATCAGGCACTTTGGGTAACGGGTGTCGTATAATAAAGTTGAGTAGAACATGAGGGAATACCAGCCTAGAGTGGTTCAAACAGTCAATATAATATAATGTGTCTTAGTGAAGAATGGATAAAGAAAAAAACAAGTACCAGTAAAATGTAAATGTATTTTTACTTCTCAGGCCTCATCTTTGGAGCCAGGGAAGAGGGATACTTACGTCCACAACGTGCGAACCCCAGAATATCGCTCTGCTGTCCGCGTGGTCTCAGCCTTTTACTCTAAAAGCAGCAGTTTTCTGAAAATAAAGCAAAATGAAGGCAAGTTTCGCTGCAACAAAGAGGCCACAGTTCAAGCTGAGTACATCATCCAAGGAAAGGAGCTGAAGGAGGGACAGGAGACGCTGGACTTCTTCTACCTGGTGAGAGGTGTTTTACTGGTGTAGTCTCTGCTGAGCTCTATAGATGCTCCTTTTCTGCTGAAATATCGACACAGCTACAGCCACAGTGTCGATCTGTGTGCAAGTTCTTTCCACCAATTAAATTCTTTACAGCAGCAAAAAAGAGTAGCTCTCTTCCATTTCTTCTATGCAAAAGTCTAAAAATGTTGGAGACACCTTTTGCAACAGGTAAGAATGATGAAAAGTAAAGCAAAGTCATAAGACAATATATAAACAATTTGAACAAACTCTTGTTTTATAGAAAAATGTATTAAGCAAAACCAATTACCATGAAATACATACTTTTTTAATGTTGTAAAATATTCCTTGTTTGCTTTTTCACAGGTGATGTCCAAAGGCTCCATTCTCCAGCATGATCGTATAACTGAGGCTGTTAAAAAGGATATGGGTACAAACTTCTATGATTATCTGTAATTGCATGTAAAGATTCCTCTTGTTTGTTCAAAGCAGGAGCGATACTGAAAAGTGACCAATAGAATGCTGCATAGTGAACTGTAGTCATTGGTTATTTCTGCAGTGAACAAAGGCGTACTGAGTGTTCCTCTGCGGGACGTGGTCAAGTTGGCTCCTGTGGCGCAGGTGCTGGTGTACGCGGTGATGCCCAACGGAGAAGCTGTGGCCGACAGCAAGGACTTCCCTGTTCAGCTCTGCCTCAGTAATAAGGTACAAATGCACTTTTAATGAAGCTCTTCTCATAATTTTAATTAATCTATTTAAAAGGGACAATATACTCACACAGAGCTACAGCAGGAGAGATGCAACTGATGCAACACATACAAAGGGTGTAGCTAATGCTAATTTTCTACTCCTGTCCCTGGTTGAGCTTCTCCCTACAGTGCAGCACATACAACAAGAATGTATTTGCCATTTGCAGTAAAACCACATTGGAAAAACTGCAAGACTACCCCAGTGTGCACCAGACAGAGAAGACGGCACACACCAGAGCTCTTGCCACTCATTCCATTAAACAGAAAGGATGAAATAATGCTTTTCTCTGCCCCAGGTTTCTCTGAAGTTTGCGTCACTCCAGCAGCTGCCCGCAGAGCAGACCACCCTAACGCTGCAGGCTCAGCCCAACTCCCTGTGCTCCGTGAGGGCCATTGACCAGAGCGTCCTCCTGCTCAAGTCTGGAGTGGAGCTCAGTGTGGATTATGTATGACCCCTGCAGAATGTGCATGTATACACCATCAGGCACTCACTGATGGTCTTGCTGTGCTCAGGTGTACGAGCAGCTGCCATTTCAGAAGCTCTCTGGGTATCCTTACCAAGTGGAGGACCATGAGCCGTACCCCTGCTTTCCCATCCCCATCCCAGAGGTGCTAGAGGGCCCGGAGCTGGAGGTGGAGGTGGAAGCCGGCAGCCGCAAAAAACGCTCCATGTATTTTGAACCTGCTCATCACAAGGACGATGTCTTTAGCGTCTTTAAAGTAAACCTTCCATTTGCATCTACTGGGTTTTCAATTACTGTTTCAAATGTTTTTAAAAGAACGTTAATTCAAAACTCTTTATCCAAACATTATACTCTACTGTTGTTAATGTTAATGTACATGCATTTTTAACCTCTCTTCCAGGAAATAGGAATCAAGATTGTGACAAACTCGGATGTAAAGAAACCGTTCGACTGCCGGAATCGAAACGATGACATTTACTTTTATGGTGGGTTGGAGATGGACTTGGATGCAGGTTCGATAGCAGATAGCAGAAGTGCAGATTTGGATGCAGATATGGACCGAGTTGAATATTTTCTTGAAGATTCAAAGGACAAAGCACCAGAAGCGATCGTTAGAACGTACTTCCCTGAGACCTGGATATGGGAGCTGGTCTCAGTCGGGTGAGTGCTGCTGCTATAACGCTATTTTCTGCTGTCTTCTTAGATGTTCTAGATTCTCCAGTCCCTATGGCCTTTAACACCATGAGTACCGAGACTCTCACAAAAGAAGAGCAAAAGAAGGAGACTGTCAGGACTTTCTTCCCAGAAACCTGGATCTGGGACCTGGTGTCTGTGGGGTAATCACCTCAAATATTTAGCAGGGATGTACTAATAAGTAGCTATAATGTGTTGTCAAATGTCACTTTTTTCGCTATAAATCTGTGTTTGGCTGCAGACAAAAACAGAGCTTTACACATATCTAGAAAGAGTAATATTGGTAATTGAAGAAGAAAAAAGTCCTCATGAACTAACAGTGCCGAGTCTGTGTCTTCGACCAGAGGATATCCAAAGTTAAAATATTAGTTTTACATTTATTGTGAATGAAAACCTCAATTTCATCACAGACCAAAAAACAGCAACCACCTTTGAGTTACTATGTCATTCATTGTTCTGGAGTACAATTATTTTATACAAACCTAATTCTAATATTGTTTTGTCCCCCAAGAGTCAAAATCAAACTGGAAGGGAGCCTGAAATTAAGATTGAAAAGCTTGACTCACCAGCAAGGTGGTGAATAATGAAGAGACTAAGTTAGTCCCCTCGCTTTGGTTTTTGGACTTAATAGAAGGATTTGTGGAAAGTGGTTATCACAGTCTCTATTACGCCCCAAAGAAACTATATTTTTGAGGACACACAGACAAGTTGAGGGTTCAGTTATATTATGGAAAGATATTTTTTTTACTTTCCCCTTTCGTTGTTTCTTCATATTTTTTAAGTTAAAGTGCTGAACTTTTCTTTGAATTATTTAGAGTAAAGAATATCCTCAACCCAAGTCCAGAAAAAGTATCACATGAAAGATAGACCTGGGGATGGACATTCCAATTGTCCTTTAAATCCAGAACTAGAGCAGAATATAAAGTGGGCAGGAGTTTGCAGCTCCATTGTGGTTGCAGCAAATCAAAGTCCCATGAAAACAAAAACCTTGATTTGAAGATGAATAGACTACATTCCAGTTGTGTTACTAATATTGTATCATATCCATGAATATTAGCATAAAAAGCTTGATGTAAAATAGTTTAGACATCTAAACCGTTGGCGGAGAATGGTGTATTTTTCATTTGCAACACTATTGAAGTTGTTTGATCTAGATACAATACAATACAATACAATACAATACAATTTATTCTTGTATAGCCCTAGGTCACAACAGAAGTCATCTCAGAGGACTTAACAAAACCATTGAAATCACCAACACAGGTCAGAGAATCAACAGTTAAAACACATGAAGAATATAAAGCACACACAGAAGAAAATGTCCATACATGTTGTAGAATGCTAAAGTGTCCTGATCATCACCAATCCTTTCTGTTGGACACTAACTGTCCAACAAGACCCTCCTGCATCGACAAGGAAAAACTCTTAAAAAATCCAGTGGGAAAAAGTGAGAAACCTTGGGGAGAACTAGGGAAACCCACAGGGAGGGAGACCCATATGAGAAAGGGATCCGCTCCTCCGGACGGACAGGCTAATGATCTAGGACCTAAGCTAGCTACAGAACGTGGACCAGTGGCCGCTGAACGTGGACAGGTCCGGTGCAGGACTGAAGCACTCCCAGGCGGGTCGGGCGGGGCAGTCCATCGTACCATGAAACAGACAATGGGACAACGGGTGAATAGCAATGAACAAACTACAGTCAAAATCCTAAAAATGCTAAACAGGTAAAGTAGGAAGGAGAAGAGGATAGTGCGCAAGTTACCATACTTCTCCCAGCAAACTGACTCCCTATGCAGCTTGACTGACAGTCTGAGGAGTTTAGCCTTCCCTGAGTCTTACCTTCCTAGCCATATGCTAAACTAAAGAGGACTGTTTTAAACCTAGCCTTGAATAAAGAGAGCGTATCTGAAAGGAGGCGAGACAGCAGCAGCCACGGCTAGGCTAGTCTAGGCTACAGCACCAAGATTCATGGATTGCACACCAGGTGTGCAAACCGATCCAAGCAAACCTAATTATTAGGGCTGTCAAAATTATCGCGTTAATTACCGTTTTCATTAACGCGTTAAAAAATAATAACGCATTAACTGCCATTGACGTGTTAACACGTCAATTGCGTTTCCCCCGATTTTCACGTTCCCAGATGTCTATTGTATCAAATATGTAAGGCTTGAGGCAATATTTTATCGAGCCAGCAGATGGCAGCATTGCTCTCTGAATGGTTTGAAAACAGCTAGATGCACTTTCTGGTGATTTCAATAAAACTTACCTCTACTCGACTGGGGATTACAGGGGAACGAAACAAGCTAGAAACAAAATTATTTTTGCTGATGAAAGTAGACAGTCCATTCTTTCAGAATCTGAAAGAATGGACTGTTTTGGATTTCAGATAATCATAGTACACAATATTCTGTGGGTCGTGAAAATTCTGTAAAAATCATCAGAAACGGCTGGCAATATGAGAGTACCTGTTCTGAAATGGGCTGGAAGGCAATCGCATGTCCGAATGACCCGCCCATTTATAATATCACTCAGAATGCCACGGACACGTGCGTGTGTGTGATGGTGACAGCGGTAACGTGGTCATATAATACACACATATATATACATGCACAGGGGCCATTCTCTGATGTTGTGTGACACACGGAGGAGAGGAGGAGACACGCTGAAATGCAACCAAACTCGCAAAATTAAAGCTGGGGTACCTACATTTTCCCTTTCATTAACAGCTCTTGTTGGTTGTACCCAAAAGTAGAAGGTTGTGAGCAAGTCAAACAGATTTAAGTACATTTGGTATGAATAACAATGTGTCATTACACTTGAAAATCTAATTTAACTCTTTATTTGAAATAGAATGCTTAAAATGCGATTAATCATGAGTTAACTCACCATTACTCTGCGATTAATCAACTAAAAAAAATTAATTGTTTGACAGCCCTACTAATTATATATTATATATCATATACATCATATATACCATACATACCATATATATCATATATAATACACAACATAACATACAGCATAACATAATATACAACATAACACAATACATTATTGTATAATATATAACATATTATATAACATAATACAGCATATATATATATAATATATACACCATATATTATATATTACCTAATTATATGCTAAATTAAAGTAGAGTGCTTTAAGCCTGGCCTTGAATGTGGAGACCGTATCTGCTTCCTTAACATAAATGGGAAGCTGATTCCACAGTAAAGGAGCTTGGTAGCTAAATGCTCTGCCGCCAACAGTGATTTTTGAGACCTTAGGGACCACCAGACGTCTGGCGTTTTGTGAGCGCAACGCACGACTTGGTTGATACGACACTAACGTGTCTTGGAGATAAGAAGGAGCCAAGCCATTTTTGGCTTTATATGTTAAGAGAAGGATTTTAAACTTTATTCTGTACTCCACAGGGAGCCAGTGGAGTGATTTTAACACCGGAGTTATGTGCTAGATGGCTAGATGGATACTTTATTGATCTTTGTAGGTGTCCAGTAAATTCTAAACTCGGCTAACAATATTAATAAAATACAACAGCACTTTAGGTCACAGCAGCAGAGGTGGTAGTTACAGTAAACAAAATTTATGACATACAATATATTGAAAATTAGATCACAATCGTATATTCAGTCAGAAAAGCAGTATTTAGCCACAATCGTGCATCCCTACAATGTGATAACCTGTGTTTGGTCCAGACCCAGTGGCTCAGTGAATGTGGAGAAGACGGTCCCGGACAGCATCACTAAATGGGCCGCGGGGGCCTTCTGCGTCTCCTCAGTGGGACTGGGCATCGCCCCTAACCAGGCCCTTACCGTCTTCCAGCCGTTCTTCGTCAGCCTCACGTTGCCCTACTCCGTCATCAGAGGAGAAGTGTTCACGCTCAAGGCCTCTGTCTTCAACTACCTCTCCAAGTGCATCATGGTACAAGTCTGACCCTTAGACAAATGTATATAGACACTGCCCACACACTGGCTCAATATAGCCTACTAAGGGAAGTTCTCATGGGGGAAGTTTTTCTCCAACTCTATTTGACTCCTATTGACTTGAAAAGTATACTCTGCTAGCTCTATAACTTTTCACCATATCAGGATTCAAATTCTGTGGTTTAACACTGGATTTTATATATTTTTATCATGTCTTTGGTCAGTTGTTTATTGCAGAAGACGCTGATTAGAGCTACTGTAACACTAGGGCGACATCAGCACTTGGTTAGTCCTCCTGCTGTTGTGCTTGTAAAGCTCTTTGAGACACAGCACAACGCTTTGAAAATTCTAACATTTCTGGCATTCCTCATTGGCTGCAACTCTGGGTTAAAATGTTGTGCATCCATTTATCAAAAACTAATCCAGAAGAAGAGAGACAGATCTTCTAGTGGACACAATAACACATTTAAAGTATTGCAGACATGAAATGACTTGAGAATAACAATCTGAAGAACCACTTTTCTGATAAATATCAAATGTTGTAGGTGAAGGTTACTCTGGCTGAATCCGAGCAGTTCACCTTTAAACCATGTGACAACTGCGAGTACACCGTGTGTCTGTGCGGAGAGGAGAGCTCCACCTTCTCCTGGGTTGTCACGCCAACCACTCTGGGTAACATCTCATGGTCCTCATACACTATATTTCGATAAAAGGCTACTTACATCATACGGAAAAATGTACATATGTTGATATATTATATGATAATTAATGCAACAGTCAATAAGTTTAGGTAAATGTGGATTTTTCTTTGAATTGGTCTTTTTTAATCAGCCAATTCAACATCACTGATCAAAAAACCATTAACTATGCCCATAACATTTGATTCCCTCCAAGTCATTCATGATTTCATCTTGATTAGCAGGTTTGGTGCTTTGTGACAAACAGGAGATAGAAGAATCTAATTAACCCTTAGTGTGCGGCTGTGACGTGTGTGTGTGTGTGTGTGCTGCAGGCCATGTGAAAGTGAAGCGTTGCCCTTAATGGTGCGAGCTCCATCATGAGCCTCTCAGCTGCTGACAATCACGTGCACTAACAAGTCAGGTGTCATTCTGACGAAACAGAGGGAAAGCTCACCCCCAGGGCCCCATCTGTACATGTCCTCTGTGTGAGACAAGTGAAGGCGGCGAGGGGGAGGCCCATAATAAGGGAACAAATGGGGATTAACGAGCCCCAATGAGCTGGGAACAGAAGGAAGGAAAAGTCAGCAGCAGCTGGGAGAGGGCAGAGCCACAGCCGCAGGATGTGTTGGTGCAGAATGTGACAGTGGCAACAGTCATCAAGGCCCATGTTCCACAGGTGACGTGAGCATCAGGGTCAGTGCAGAAGCCCTTAAAACTGACCTCCTGTGTGGGAACGAGGTGGCCTCTGTGCCGGAGCGTGGACAGATCGACACTGTGGTTCGCACTCTGCTGGTGCAGGTCAGGGCTCATACATACACACTCATATGCACGCATACACACTCATAGCATACATACAAACTCAAATACACACTCATATGCACACATACACACTCATATGCATGCATACACTCACATACACACTCATATGCACACATACACACTCATACGCACACATACACACTCATATGCACACATACGCACACATACACACTCATATGCATACATACACTCACATACACACTCATATGCACACATACACACTCATATGCACACATACACACTCACATACACTCTCACATACACACTCATATGCATACATACACACTCATATGCACACATACACACTCATATGCACACATACACACTCATACGCACACATACACACTCATATGCATACATACACTCACATACACACTCATATGCACACATACACACTCACATACACTCTCACATACACACTCATATGCATACATACACACTCATATGCACACATACACACTCATATGCACACATACACACTCATATGCACACATACACACTCATACGCACACATACACACTCATATGCACACATACACACTCATATGCATACATACACACTCATATGCATACATACACACTCATATGCACTCGCGCACACTCACATGCACACGTACAAACTCACATTACTTACTTATTCACATGCGCACTAATGCCGCGTTCAGACCGGATCATGCGTTACACACTTCTGGTGCGCAAAGCTTCAGCGTTCCAGCGTTGGCGGTGTGAACACAGCTTAACACACTCGCATGCACACGTACACACTCACATGCACACACTCACATTCACACACAACAACCAATAACTATTTTCCCACGTCATGTTTGAGTTAGCAGTCAATTGTAAAGAAATCACTTACAAATTCTATTTCTTTACATGTCCAGGCTGAAGGAACTCCTCAGATGGTGAGCCACAATGCACTGCTGTGTCCTGCGGGTGAGATTTTTTTATCCTGTGCCTCTTCAACTGTTTTAGTATCAATGATAGAGATTTTAGATGATGTCTTGTTACAGAGGGTCCAGTGGAGAAGAAAATCTCTCTCCTGATGCCTGAGATGTTTGTGGCTGGATCGGCCAGAGCCACGGTCTCTGTTCTGGGTTTGTAGCTCCACGTTTCCTTATGTGTGTTTCAATATTCGTCCAAAGAAAGCTCATTTTGTGGCCTCTCACATTTGCAGGTGATCTGATGGGCAGAGCTATGAAGAACCTGGACAAGCTGCTGGCCATGCCGTACGGCTGTGGGGAGCAGAACATGGTGCTGTTTGCTCCAAACATTTTCATCCTGAACTATCTGAAGAGCACGAGCCAGCTCAGCAAAGACATCCTGGACAGAGCCACGCAGTTCCTTCAGTCAGGTCTGTGTCTGAGCATTTCTATTAGGGAGAACAAACAGGACGTTTCTATGTTCAATCTGATACTTCTGCCATTCACTACCTGTTGATATTATTACTGATGTTCTTCTGCTTATATTCTCCGCTGCTAAAGTACAATATTCACATCTGTAAATACTTCTGAACCACGTGCAATTATAGCTACAAAGTTTTTGTTTTATTTTTTTTCCATTTTACCATCCGATTATCTTGTTTTAATGTTATTGTCTATCATCTTGAAAAATAGACTCTATTTGATGTGTGCAATCTGAGTGCTCTTATTTCCTTCTTTCTCTGCTGAAACTTGCACCGATGACACTGTGGGACGGATGAAGGAATATCTTATCATTGTTCTAACAATGTTGTGCAGGCTGGCTGTATGAAGCATAGATTTGTTTTTGATGCAATTGTGAATAATCTAAAGAGAATAGTATAATCTAAAATTTTGTCTTCTGTAGGATATCAGAGGGAGCTCACCTACAAACATGATGACGGTTCTTACAGCGCGTTTGGGAAGTCTGACGAGTCCGGAAACACATGGTCAGTTACTTTTCTCATAACAGGATCCATAATATGCAGACTATGATTAATTTAAACCACATAATTACATTGCCCCCATATCAAAAACAGACCTAGAGTTGTTTTTGGTCCATCAGGCTAAAATCAGGAACTGCTGGTGCAAAAAAAAAAAAACCCATCCCTTCTGTCAAAAACCATTTCCGAGCTCATGATGATGTAACGGCTATTTCTCTCTCCTTTTATATGACAAAAAATTAGGACTATTTTAGCACATCGCTCCAGCAACCAGAGATTAAACAAATAATGTAGTAGTAGTAATGTAGTTCACTTCGCCCTCAAGGACCGATAACAAAAACTAAATAAAATATGTGCATTTGGTCTAAAATGTACAAATCATCACTTTGTGTTTAAAACTGCGACTGAAACTGCTTTGATTCCCCACACGGTTGGAATTGTACCTCATTCTCCGGGTTAAAACACTACAGACACATTTCTGATGGCATAACTTGTTCTCATTGCATCACTTTGTTACCCAACATTTAAAGGCATTTATTTAGGGCAGTTGTGTGTGTATTTTCAGCTTTTAATCTCACACTTTTTATTTTATTTAAAAGAATAGTGTCCCCTCAGCTGTCTGGCACAGGCGCCCATCCTAATACATCTACAGACGCTGCCAAAATGTGAATATTTGAATTGAATGGGCTTAAAATCGCAGCCTCCAGGGGAATTATCTACCCCTCTGCTCTTTATTAGACACCACTGGGCAGTTTGGCAGGTGCTGCGGCTGTGTAGGTGGATGTAGGACTATTCTGTTTCAAACATGCCAACAGGACATTGCTCAAAGTGCCAAACATGTTATTGCTTTGTTCAGAAAAGACAATGGAAGCATATATAGAAAATGTATAAAATGTGTGTCTCGAGAACATCTTCATGGTCTGACATTAAAGGGACTGCATGTAATATTCCCTCTTAGTGATCTAATAAAGTCATAACAATTACTATAACACTTTTGATGCCAGAATATTCCTCTCTCTGACAGATGAAGCTCCTATGCACTGGTTACTGATGCAAACCACCTGCTGGAGTTTGGCTAGGAATGGTGCGATGTACTACGTTTGACTATTTACTATTGTAGCTGTGATAGTTTGAGCAATACTGTGGTGCAGCTAATTCATTCTACTCTGATTGGATAATCGGCTTGAAAACATAGATATTATGGACATTGTGTTCTTTGTATTTTTAAATAAACTTTTGCTATGTTGTACATGTTGACCTTTTATCTGAGGATACAACTGTAGAGGCAATTTAAAATGGAAATATTACATACAGTTTGTTAAATAAAACTAGACGAGGCCTGAGAGCAGTTTCTGCTGACTGACCTTCTCAGATGAAATTGCAAATTTACCATTGCCGATAAAAATAAGATCATCATAATGATAATTAACTCAAACGATAAATACTATGTATGTGTGCTGCCAATGGAACAAGTAAGTTTAGGTATATACTAATCAAAGCAGAATACCAAAATGATGTGTACGTCTCAGTTGGAGGGAATTCTAATGAAAACTAATCATATTTAAGTTTTAATAAGCAGCAGAGTAATACACCCTTCACCATTCAGAAAAGTTCACTTTGGGGTCACCTAAAAGAGCATATGGAAATTCATATTCCATTTGTGTGCATGACCTCACAGGCTGACCACTTTTGTGATGAAATCCTTCGGAGGAGCGCGGCCGTACATTTTCGTCCAGCCGGAGCACATCGCTACAGCCAAGAAGTGGCTCTCGCGTCACCAGCGTCCGGGCGGCTGCATCGCGTCTGTGGGAAAACTCTTCCACAACGGCATGAAGGTAGTGTCAGCATCACATTTTAATGAATTTCAAAAAGATCTTTTATTGACTGTTCTCTGTACAGACAGCGACCAGGTTCTAAGATTATTGTAAAAATATAGAAAGGACTATCCAACGTGTGTTTACTGATAGAGGAAACCGGAGCCCCTGGAGGAAACTTGCACTGATTCAGTTTAACCATGTGTCTGCATAGGTTCTGCGTAGGACCAAACTCCACTCAGAAAAAAATCCAATCCTGCAGAATGTAGTCTAATGGTAATCTATGAGCCACATTGTTCTTTTTAGTGGCTTTAAAATCCGTGAATGCAGCTTAACTATAAGATTGTCAAAAGCTTGTCTTTAGACATGTTTTTTCCCTTTTCAAAGCACAATGTTTTGTCATGAATAATTAGTAGAGAAAGCCAGGGCTCTGGTGCACAATGCTGCAGGCTTTAAGTCAAACAACACAGACACTGTGATAATTGGCCCGTCCTAACTAACAATGCCCATTAAAGGAATATGAGCTGGGCGGTAACCCGAGACTTCAGAAACTATTAGGGCTTAGTCACATTATAGGTCTCTCAGCAATTAACTCTTTCTTTAGTGTTGAGAGGAGGTCCCTAAGGCTGCCTTCACACCAAATCATAATTGGGACCAAACCGGATTCAGATCCTGGACTAAACCTGGAAAAATGAAATCACAGCAGAGGCCAACATCTGTGTGCACATTGTGTTCCAGGGGGGAGTCAGTGATGACGTGTCCCTCACGGCTTACATCACCGCTGCACTTCTGGAGCTGGAGACAAATGTGACGGTAAGTAACATGCAGCAACAGGCAACACTCCTATTTACATAATTCTGCATTCATATTTAGATGTTTTTTCATAATGTTTTCATTCCTAGTGTTGTCTGCTCATTTTACATCGATTTCAGGTTTCTGTAAAGCCCTTTGTTATGGTGTAATATTTTCATTGTCTCTATCAAGCAATAAATGATTGATTTGATGCACATGTCTTTTGAATTATGTATGTATATATTTAACTATATATATATTACACCCTCTGATTGTTGATTGTGTTATTCTAATTAGCTTATTACAGAATACATCTTGAATTCTTCAAAGATTATTTTTATTTTATTTCAGTCAGGCAAACAATTTCAAACTCATAGTATTTATCACATTGTTCATGTGTGTGTGACTCTATCCATAAACAGGAGGGACAGATAAACTCCCTTGTTCTTGGGAATAAAATTATAGCAGTCATTTTCTTAATCCTGACCTTCTCTACTGAACTTTTGTCTGTCCAGGAGCCGCTGCTGCAGAAGTGCCTGGCCTGCCTCCAGGGGGCGCTCACGGTGCAGATGGAGAACCTCTACACCACAGCACTGTTGTCCTACACCTTCAGTCTGGCAGGAGACCAGGACACCAGGAGCAAACTCCTCTCACACCTGCACCAGCGATCCAAGATGGAGGGTGAGGAAAACACTGGTGTTTATGGTCAGAAACTGACAAAACCTTATGTTGCTTTCATGTTGCGGGGTTCGTGCCAATATAACATTATATATAATATTAATATGTTTATTAATAAGTGTGTTTATTTGGGCATCTAGAAGATAAAAACTCAATGATACAAAAAGGAGAAGCGCAGAAAAAAAAATAACCCAAAAGGGAGTTGGCAGAAGCTGGAACAGCTTATCTGGGCCTATCCCTGTTACCAAATACCCATCACCGATAGATTGTTATGATTCTTACATGTACATACATTACTATATATATACACATGCAATACATATATATACACAGACATATACATAGGACATATATAGTAAAACATTGATTGCCTTTCAGCGGGGGCTTCAGACTAAGGCTAAGCCACAGAGTAGCCATCCTCCTGCGGACTCACCACCTGCAGGAGGATCAGTGAGGGGCTGCTGCTATGTGTACTCCCCCCAACCCAGAAATGGATGAAGGGGTAGGAAATGGATGGATGGATAGATTCACCAACAATGCATAGTCCTTCCAATGGCCAACACCATGAATACATTTCTTGCATTCAAATACCATCTTTTCTCATATTATTATAAAATTACAATTGGAGACAATTCTCACATTGATGAATCATAACAAACCAATTACTTACATCACTTTAGCCTGGTTATATTATTTAAAATGTTCGAGGAAACAAAAGGCCAAAACCTAGTGAACGTTCCAATGGTGTGGTGTGGTGTGTGATGGGCAGGTGGGACGCGGTACTGGGACCGGCCCGGAGCGGCGGGGAAAGGCTTGGACTCTCTGGAGGTAGAAACAACATCTTACGTTCTGTTAGCGCTGCTCTCTGGACCCGCGCTGCCGGACTTTGGCCTGGACTACGCTTCAGGGATCGTGCGCTGGCTCGCGCAGCAACAAAACCCATACGGTGGATTCTCTTCCACACAGGTAAACATTTAGCCATCATAAAACATGTTTGATTTTGACTTAGTGGTCTTTAGAATATTCACACCCAAAATAATATTTCTGATACTCGTTATCCCAGTATAGATGCTGCAAAAATCATCAGGTGAAAGTTGGAAAATTAGAATAACGTTCTTTTGCTACTGTAATTCATCTTACAATGTGAAACTAATATAACTAAAGTAATATATGACACATATTGAACAGATTTGTCTCACTTTGCCTGTAATGTTTGTTTCTCATGTTGATCATTGCTCACAGCTTCTAATAACCCCAAAAAAAACATATTTGAATACTATGAAAATGGACTGTAAGCCATAATCCTCATAAATTGAATTACAGATGTAAATTCATTTTTGAACAATCATTGTTTCACTTTTACAATTTTTACCTGCACAAATATATTTACGAATTGTGTGGTTCTGGCTGCTTAGGCTCCAGACGTTTTTTGAATCCCAAAAACTAGGAGTGAAACACTTACATTTATATCAATTCCCTTCACAGTAGAGGCAACATTTTTCTAACAATGCCTTCTCTTCTCTCCTCTCCTTCTCCTGGGGCCACTTAGGACACCGTGGTGGCTCTCCAAGCACTGTCCAAGTATGCCGCTGCCACCTACAGCGAGCAGGGCAGTACTGCAGTGAAGGTCACGTCTCTGGGCGGGCTGAGCACAGACTTCACCGTGGATCAGTCCAATCGCCTTCTGTACCAGGAGGAGAACCTGCCCGAGGTCCCAGGAGAGTACACCGTGAGGGCAGAGGGCCAGGGCTGCGTCTTGGCTCAGGTGACTGTCTACACATGTGTGGGATTCAGTGGACTATAGGCCTCACTGCAAAAAATGGACAAATATATGATATAATTTCAATGTCATCGTTGCGCATTTTACAGAAGAATAACAGAGGATTTAAAAGCACTCAGATCCGGTTTGATGCAACCTATTACTTAAGACGGTGTTCCCCAACCTTTTTGAGCCGAGGTACACATTTTTCCTTTAAAACAATCACATGGCATCCCACCGGCTGAAACTGATACAAACTGATGTTACTCTGCAGCCTTTGTTAACAAAACAATTCATTCTCATCCCAGCGTGTTATATGGAAAATCAGAGAAGTATGTCTAATCTTGTCATTCTTTTTATTTTTTTTACATTATTTTGACCAAGTAGGTGATATTGGATCATTTCACAAGGCACACTAACGTCAGGATAAGTGCATATGTGGAGTATACACTGACTCATTTTTAACTTGAATTGAGTACATTTTGAACGCCTTAAAACTATATTTGTCATGGGTCAAGCTGTTTAGTCTTACCTCAAGTGCAGTAGCAATTTATTTCTCATTCCAAGGGAGAATTGTTGTGTCTGTTTTAACAATAAGACATGTTTTGCTTGTTAAATTGGCAAATCTTGTGTTAAGGTGTGAACTGTAGGTACTTTTTTTCACTTTTTGCAGTGATGTCACGATAGTAAATATTTATCGCGATGATTACGATGGCGACTTTGTTGTAATCTCACAGTCAAGGATTTTTTTCAGCAAACGCACTTGTGTGTTGTGAACAGATCTCGATGCACTACAACATCCCTCCTCCCCCGGATTTCTCTGCATTCAACATTTCCACTTCCACCATGTCCAAATGTAACGTCAGCCGACCACAGCTCATCATCTTTGTGAATGTCAGGTGTGGTTTTCCAGGATTCATCATCACCGTTACAATATGATGCTCCATTGTGGATCTTTTGAGATGTAGTCAAGTCCGTATTTATACTGGAAAGACTAAAAGTTGATGGTTCTTGTGTTGTCAGATATCAGGGCCGCAGGGAGGAAACCAACATGGTCATAATCAACATCAAACTCTTGTCTGGATACGTCCTGGATAAGAGCTCGTTGGACATGGTGAGGGTTAAATCTCCTAGAAATTATGTGTAATGTCTCCAGCCTGACGAACACCCGGGTTTCCTCTTTCCCCGACAGATGAAGGGCGACCAGTCCGTGAAGAGAGTGGATGTGGATGATGGATTTGTCAACATCTACTTAGACGGGGTAAGAACAAATTGCTGCTAAATTTTATTTTTTAAAGCAGCAGTATGTACAAATCTGTCCAAAAGTGGTACTGCATTCTCCCTGATTCAGGTTGCCAGATATGCAGAGGAATCCAGCTGGGACCATAGTATCTGAATAATTGTTGTCAATGAGTTGTCAACAACAAATCTATAGCCAACATATTTTTCACAAAGATGGAAAACCTGGTTTTATTCCTTTTGTCGTCATTAATGATTTGAGAATCATAACGGGACCTTTTTAGTTCTGCGGCCACATGTTACTTTACCAGTGAGATTAGCTCGATGCTGTGAGTTCTGGCCACCCGGATCACGGACTTTCTGATTGGTAAAACGATGGAGGGGCTATAAAGCTAATTTTGAAATCCAATTATCTCAGCTGAACTACGGTTATCAGTTAAAGAAGTAAAGAGTATGTTTTATTAATGCCTTTTGACAGAGTAGGGCCATTTAATCTTGATCTTACATAATGCTACTTTAAATCTGTCTTGGCCAAAATACAAACATTTCTGTGAGTCTATTTGTTTACATAAGAACACGCTGTTATTGTGAAGCCTTTCTGATTATGTTTTAAGGTGTTTGAGAAGTGAGTACTTGATTCCGTTATCACAAATCAAATGAGTCGGTTGCTGATGAAGTGATTAGATTTTTCTGCCTCTTACATTTGCAGCTGAAACAGGACAAGATGCGTATTTACAGTGTGACGATTGAGCAGGACCAGGCCGTCAGGAACCTCAAACCTGCTGTGGTCAAAGTCTACGATTACTACCAGACGAGTACGACCTTTTCCCAAACTCATTTGAACCTGTATTTAGTTTGAGTATTGCAGCTATTAACTATTATTTAACGCTACTTTTTTTAGGTGATGAAGCAGTCACTGAATACACGTCCCCTTGTGCAGAAAGTAAGTGGTACTCATGAATTGTTGCATGTAGATTTTAATTAGAATATTATGGGTCCATATTAAAGCCAGGGCCCCTAACTTTCAAACCCCCAAAAAAGATTTCTTCTCTTGGTTCTAATATTAGTTTTCACAATGCATACTTTTGCCCTCTGTCGCAACTTTAAATCAACATTTACAGACAAAAAACTGAAAAAGAGGACCTCACAGAGTCCTAAAGTGTCTTGTATGTCCCTTAAAAGTTTGCAAAAGAATAAATGTTTCGAATAAGATAAAGACGGCATGATGTGGTCGGATTTTACTTTTACAAGGGTCTATCTTTAAGAAAACATTATTTATGAGAAAAACAAAGTAGGTACCCCTGCTTTAAATGTATAGTGGAACTTACATTTAAACTACATTAAAACTTTAAATGTATTGTCCCCAAATCTTAGGAAAGAACCTATCAGTGATTGACAATTGGGAGGACCAACAGTCTTGATGATCCACCCGGAAGTAGAAAATCCTCCTATAGACCTTTAATGTAAACATAACACGTGTCTGTCTAGTCACACATGTGGCTCATTATTATACATTTAGAATATTTTAATCCCAATCCCCCATATATCACATATTCAGGACATTTGCATAATTAAGTAGAAAATCAGACATCGCTCTGAATAACAACTTGTAAATGAAAAATGCAAAATCAAAAACTAAAAAGTCAATTATAGAATGTCCCCTTTAACAACATGCATGTGCAATAAAATGGCATAGAAAGTAAATTGTCTTCCACTATATTGTATTTTGGAACATTTTGCCCAAATATTTGTTTGGAATTTGTATCTGTGCATTTTGTGAATACATCTGTTTGGTTTCAGGTGACAAAGTGAATGAATTGTAATGACCTCGAGGGAGAATAATTACAACAAACCCATCTCCAATATGTTTTTCTGTCATTTTTAATTTGAAAGATATTTTATATTTGCCATTGCTTTTAATGTGTTGCTGCATTTTGTGTGTGTGTCTTTCTATTCTTTGTTCTAAACATTTTTTTTTTTGTCGACTTTAAAGCCTGCTCCCACAACACTGGAACCACATGTTTTTTAACCTTGCGTCACAAAAGAAACCCAGCTGTATTTTCAGTAACAGTTTTAATAGATTTCATTAAATCCATTTCTCTTTGTGTGAAAGTGACGTCCAACAGTTAAGAGGCACCTAACACAGAATGGTCTGATTGTAGATTACAGTAATGTCCAGCCAACATACAGTGTACCGAGTGCTAGGTGAATTTCTGTGCATCTTCTGCTGTACCAGTAAAAAAAAATTAGATACATCACTAACATTTACAATTTGAAATGTACCGTGACAATACATTTTCTAAAATGACAAAAATAAGTAAAAATTTCACTTGTTTTAATTTTTCATTTTTATAGTAAGATATTCATTCAGGCATCTGCTTTACAGTATATTATTTGTCCTCTTTTCACATAGATAACAATAACTACATACGCACAGACAGCCTTGCCACTGATCGTTTGGTTTGCACACGGGCAAGGGAGATGCAATATATATTAAGATTTATGTCACTAGTCTCATGTGACACTATCTCAGCCACAACAACCATAAATTACTCTATAACACATGAAACTAAACACCAGTTTCACATGCAAAATCACAGTCTTCCAAATTATTATTTTTTAACTATTGACAATTATGTAGGACAATTTTTTTTGTAAATTGAACTTTGCAAATTTATCAACCCAAGCTACTTATGGTTTACTACAAAATCCATTCTATATCACTTTGCCAACCAATCACCAGCAACAGCCACATTAATATATCCACTGGACAATTTCAAGGCACAAGTCTGGATTGCATTAGTCCTTCAAAAATCATTTGTGGTCCTGTGTCGGACAGCGGTACGCCCCCTAGTGGCAGTGATGACAGTGGGGCTATGGTGGAGTGCTGAAGATTTCTACTTGGCAAAGCTGCTTGAAGAGCAGAGAGATGGGTGTGTTGAGTTGGCAAATGAGCCTAAAACATAGTGACATTTAAATAAGATTTGAACAAAACACTGGTGATGTGGACAAGTGAGTGAACCGTGACACATACAAAATCAAGAAAAAGCAGAGGAGATATCTGTAGATTTCTCGTTTCTGCGGTAAATGTCAATAAATGCTTGTGTGTTTGAATATTAGCAGCTTCTTTTACATTGGTCGAACCTTGTGAACTGCAGTGTGAGCTCCTGAGCGGTAGTGAATCTTGACTTTGGTGAACCTGGATCGAGTAAAATCTTTACAATAAATACACTGGACACGCCGCATGTGATGTAGTGTCAATACAAAGTGAACACTGGACTCATCACACACTAGTTTGTCTCCACATTGTCCTTCCGGTTACACACGTTGTTGATGGACTAAAAGCGTTGGTGACGACAGAGCACTTAAATGAAAACATTGGCTTTTTGCTGAATCCATGAATAACACAGTAAAAAAAAGAAAATACAAAAAGTAACTACAATATCTCCATTTGGCAATATAGAAATGTCTTAATCTTTACATTTGGTTTATTACAGTCATGAGTTGAGTCTCCCTTTTTGATCCGAACAGAATCACGTACAAAAACTTGTTCCGAAAAAAATTACAAAATAAAATCGGTGAAGTGAGTTGAAGGAAGGCAGGTGTGTCCGCAGTGGGACCGAAAACAAGAAGTCCGAAGTTGCTGCTCCGGCTCAGATCTCTCTTTAGTTCATGAACTGCGTGTAGCCTTCGGCCCCCGTCACGATCACGTCCATCCAGATCCTCATGGCCTCCGCCGAAGGAGCCACCATGTAGTACAGCCGGTCGTGGGTCTTCACGCAGAACGTCAGCGAGGGATTTGGGCTCTGAGGACACGGGGAAGAAAAACACTTTTAATAATGATTTGTGTTGTGTGTGTGGAAGATAAAAAGCGAGAGAGAAAAAAGGTTCTGGTCAAACAAAAGGGGAGGATGCCAAGCCGTTTACACACACACACAACAAACTAGAACAAACGGATTTTAACTGGAACAAAGATACTAAAGGGATACGTATTGGATGGTTAAAATGTTTAGACACTTGGACAATATGGTAAAAAAACTACAGTAATATTATGTCTCCTTTTGTTAAATGTGCCCGTTGCTTTATCATTAATCATCCTAGTTTAAAGGGATGCTCAGTTACTTTTCAAATTGAAGATGGAAAGACATTGTATAATTGTTAGTTACCTTTTGTAACTGTAGTTCTACGAATAGTGCGTAGCCCCTTAGGCTCGCTTTGGGTATGACTCCAGAAGCACCTAGCTTCCCGCCAGAGAGAACTCAATGCTCCAATCACTGTGCAGAACCTCCTATAAATAGCCCACAGCAGTCCATGCTCTTCACTTTGAACTCGCCAAAGCCAGGTTGGACTGATGGGCCCGTAGCTAAGGGGCTACGCACTATTCGTAGAACTACAGTTACAAAAGGTAACTAACAATTCTACTTCATAGTGCTACGCCCCTTATGCTCGCTTTGGGTAACGAAGCGTAGCCTAAGAGTATGTACTCCCATCAGGCCAGCTAGCAGTGATTGGAGCCCTGCCGAGTAGGCCCTAACACCTCCAAGGTGTGGGAACTCAAGACAGACAGGGAAAGAGCAGTGATGGGGCCGCTCCTATCAAGGACGCCCAAGGATAGGCTCAAAGGTGAAGCAGTGGTAGGGCCGCTCCTATCAAGGACGCCCGAAGCACTAACAGAATCCAAGAGGGAGGCCGTTCCAGGAACAGCCAAGTCTCTGACCAAACGCCCAAGGGCGAAGGTCACTTCCCAGGACGCCTCTATCAAGAGCTCCTGAGGAACACCGCGCGCGCCCCCGTAGGGGAACAAGGAACAGTCCCAGACCGCCTCTACCAAGAGCACCTGAGGATTGCACAATGCCGCGAAGGAAGAAGGAGAAGGCTGAGCCCAGGACGCCTCTATCAAGAGCTCCAGGAGGGGCCGGCCGCTCCAGACAACATAGACCGCAGAAAGCCTCAGAGAGAGCCAGACACGGTCGCATCAGTCCCAGAGCTCAGGATGGAGTGAGCAACAGACCGCTCTGAAACATCCACCAGGTAAGACAGAGCAAAGGTGGAAGACGAAGCCCAGGACGCAGCCTGGCATACCTCCTCCACCGAGGCCCCTCGTAGCAGAGCTGTGGAGGCCGCCACGCCCCGAGTGGAGTGCGCTCGGAACCCCACCGGGGGCACCATCCCCTGGGCCTGATACGCCGAGCGAATCGCCCGGGACACCCAGTGCGCCAGCCGCTGGGAGGATAACGGGGCGCCTCTGTTTTTAGGCCCCAAGCACACGAACAGCTGATCCGTGCGCCTGAAAGAGGACGTGACCTCCAGGTAATGCCTCAGCATCCTGACAGGGCACAACAGGTGTCTTTGCTCATCCTCCTGCGAGGCGTGAGGCGGAGGATGAAAAGGTCTGATCCGTATGACCCTGGACCTGAAGGTTGAGGAAACGACCTTGGGGAGAAAGGCCGGGTTGGGCCACAACTCCACCAACCCATCCCCCGGACCAAAGGACAGGCAGGCCGGGCTGATGGAAAGAGCGCACAGTTCTCCCGCCCTCTTGGTTGATACCAGAGCCAATAAGAGTGCGGTCTTGAAGGCCACGCATTCTGGGCTGGCACGGGTCAGGGGTTCGAAAGGAGGCCCTGACAGCCCTTTCAAAACCACCTTGAGGTCCCAGATCGGAGGTGTTCGTCTAAGGACCGGCCTCTTCCTGTAGGCCCCCCGAAGGAAGCGTTTGATTAACGGGTGGGAGCGGGCTGAAAACCCCCCGAACCCTTCGTGACCAGAGGCAATGGCCGAAGCGGACACAGCCAAGGTACTAGCGGCCCTGCCCTTATCCAAAAGGTCCTGCAGGAATCCCAGGACGCCCTCTAGAGGGCAAGACCTGGGGTCCCACGAGTGGGCCGCGCACCAGTCTTTGAAAAGCTTCCACCGGCACCCGTAAGCCCTCACGGTGGAAGGTGCCCTCGCCCCTTGGATGGTATCCACCACCGCCCGGGGGAGGCCTAGTCGGACTAGGTTCTGCCTCTCAGCCTCCAAACCCAGAGCCTGTGGCCCAGGACTGGGCGGGAGCGAAGCGTCCCCCCTCCCTGGACCAGGCCCCCTGGCACGTCCGGGAGAGGCCACGGGTCCATCACAGACATGTTGGTCAGGAACGGGAACCAACGGGCCTGTGGTCGGTCTGGGGCGACCAGGATTACCTCCCGCTCTTGCTGCTCGATCCTCCTCAGTAGGATCGGTAGGAGACGAGGGGGGGGGAAGGCGTACAACAGGCCCCCTGGCCACGGATAATGAGCCAAGGCATCCACCCCTAGAGGCGGATTGTCCGTGGGTCTCAGTGCGAACCAGAGCGGGCATTGCGCGTTGTCTGCACTGGCGAACAGGTCGACCACAGGCCGACCAAACCTCTGCCAGACCTCCGCTGCCATCTGCGGGTCGAGGCCCCACTCGTCCTCGAGAGGGCCTCCCCGTGACATTATGTCCGCCCCTGTGTTCCTGTCTCCCGGAACATGACGCGCTCTCAGAGACTGCAGATGCCCTGCAGCCCAGATCAGAATGGTCGCTGCCAGTCGGTGGAGGGCTGGGGACCTCGTGCCCCCCTGCCGGTTCAGATACGCCACCACTGTGGTGTTGTCTGAGCGCACCATCACGTGTCTCCCCGCTAGTTGTGGAGCGAAATGCAGAAGCACCCTGTGAACCGCCTCCATCTCCAGCAGATTGATGTGACGAAGAGGGCCTGACCAGGCGCCCCCCACAGAGCTCTGGTGCAGAACCCCCCCCCATCCCTCCAGAGACGCGTCCGTGAACACCTCCACGTGTGCCACGGCACCGACCAGGGGAACTCCTTCCAGCATCAGACCGGGCGTGAGCCAGTAGCTCAGGTCCTCGGCCACTCCTGGAGGAACAATGAGCCTTCTGCCCCCGTCTCTTGTGGGATGTAGTCGGAGACGGGAGAACCACCTCTGGAAACGTCTCAAGTGAAGGAGACCTAGCCGCACCACTGCATGAGCTGATGCCATCATCCCCAATAGAGACCGTATTCGTCGGGCGGTCACTGTGGGAGAGGTCAGCGCTTCCTGAGCTAGACGCGTGATGCTCGAGCGTCTGTCCTGGGAGAGCGCTGCCCGAAACTCCACCGAGTCTAGCTGTAGACCTAGATAGACTAAGCGCTGTGCGGGTTGCAGATTGCTCTTTTCCCTGTTCACCACAAAGCCTAGGCGCTGCACGTGTGACAGGACCCAGTGCGTGTGAATGGTGGCCTGCTCCAGAGACGGGGCCAGAATCAGCCAGTCGTCTATATAAGTCAGGATTCTGATCCCTGCGCGTCTGAGTGGTTCCAGCGCCGCCTCCACGCACTTGGAGAAGGTGCGTGGGGCCAGAGCGTAACCGAAGGGGAGGCGACAGTACTCGTAACACTTCCCTCCCACGGTGAAGCGCAGGAAGCGTCTGTGCTCCGGTACTATGGCAACGTGGAAGTAAGCGTCCGTCAGGTCTATGGTTGACATCCAGTCCCCGGGCCTGACGCACTCTAACAGATGTTTTGTGGAAAGCATCCGAAAGGGCCGTTTGGAAATGCACTGGTTCAGAGTGCGCAGATCCAATATAGGGCGCACCCCCCCTGATTTCTTGGGGACCAGGAAATACGGGGAGTACAGGCCTCTGGAGGCGTCCCGAGGGTCCACCAGGACCGCGGCGCCTCTGCGTAACAGGGAGGCGACCTCCATTTGGAGCGCCTCTTCTGTCTCCCTATCTGTAGGGCGCACCGCACGAATGCCCTGGAACGGCGGTGGTCTCCGTGCGAACTGCAGAGCGTAGCCCCTGCGCATCGTTTTCTTTAACCAGGGGTCTGACAGTAGACCGAGCTCTTCCCAGACCCGAAACTGCTCTGTGAGGGGAAGGAGAGGACCCGGAGCACCTGGTGTAATAGCCCCCCACTCTCCATGCGCTCCCAGCGGAGAGGGGGGGGCATCGAAAGGGCCGAAACACCTCATGAGATGTGCTGTGTGAGGAGGTTGGGACCAGGCCCCCTGACTCACTTATAGACAGCGGTAATCTGCGTTTCACTCCCCGCCCAGAGGATGAAATGACAGCAGCCTGAGCTGAAGGGCAGACGTGTGTGGGAGCGTCCTGCTCTGTATGCGTAACACCACTAACAGAGGGAACCCCGGAGACGGAGGGAAAAACCTGACCTAGGCTTTCATTACCACCCCTGGGGAATGAAGTGCTGGATTTACCCCGGAGACGCTGAGAAAAGGGAGAGAGGCTCGCAAAACCTGGTCCTGACCCAGCAGACACTACACTGGCCGCTGTGGGAAGTGGTATGGAGGGATGCGGCCGCTGTGGACTCAACGTAACCAAAGGTGATAGACCTGTGTGTGATGCAATGCTGCCCTCTACCTGAGATGACAAACCATGCATGGCAAAAAGATGATGCTCAGACAGAGAATACGGTACACCTTGTCGTTTATTGAAAAACTTTTTCCCCCCCCGAACTCCCCGACTGTAGGGAGGGCGGCGGTGGGAGCGTTGGTCACGGAAACCACCGGAGTAAGGCTCTGAACCCCGTGGTCTCTGCGGAGTGTAGCGGCCCGGGCAAGGAGCAAGAGGGGGCGGAGCTGAGCGTCGCCGAGGTGACCGGTCTCTCACTCTCTCTCTGCCGCGATAAGGCTGCTGCTGTTGTTGCTGCTGCTACTGCTGCTGCTGCTGCTGTGACACACGGCGAGGGAGCAGATGAGGAGCCAGCATGGCGGAGTCTTTGGCAGCAGCGTCCAGTCTCGCGACGAGCCCCTTCATGTCTGGACCGAAGAGGGAATCCAAGGAGATAGGGAGGTCCAGGAGCTGCCTCTTCTCCGTCTCCTTGATGTCCGCTAGCCCCAGCCACAGATGGCGAGCACCGACCTGTGCGGACGCCATGGATCGCCCACCGTCAATAGCCAGCGCCTGGATCATACGGAGTATGGCCGCCGTGGTGGTTCTGGCCCGGTCCAGGTCCTCGTCGGTGAGAGCTTGACCCGTGGATAGAGACCTATCGAGGGCCCCGGTGAGAAGAGCCATATTGCTAGCTAACGCAACGACCTGTGCTGCGTTAGCGTAGCATCTATCCAGTACAGCCATGCTCATCCTATCCCGCTCCGAGGGAAGGAGAGGTCTGCTGCCGGGCCACACCGAGGACTGCGGGAGTAGTGCGAGCCGGACAGCGTCCTCCACTTCCGGGACCCCTTTGGACCAGGACCAGTCTTGGACCGAGCAATAGGCGCCGTACCCCAGAGCAGGCTTCTTAGCTGCTAGGGGTTTGGCCCAATCACGTGCCGCGTAATGGAAAACCGGATCCATCCGCGGACACAGTGTTGGAGCTCGTCTCTTCTTCCCTGGAAGCGATGAACCCACCGACGTGAAGTCGCTCTCTCTCTGGGTGGGTTGCGGAGGCAGGGGGGTCTCCATGGTGGCCGCTGCCGTGGCGAAGAGGCGGGGCATGTGGTCCAGAGGGAAGCGGTCTTGTTCCTCGCACAAGGAAACAGCCTCGTCGAGAGTGACGTAGGAACCCCGGTCCTCGTCAAACTCTTCCTCCACAACACAGTCTCCCCACTCCCTGGGTGCAGGAGGCAGGTCGAGCGGGACATACTCAACCTCAGGTTCCTCCTCCTGGGAGGGACCCGGGCAAGCCTCCGCGGAGGTGGCATAAGCAGCGCGGCGCTCTCTCTCCTCCCCGGGGAGAGAAAGGCACGCCGCACACGTCGCCGCTTCCCGGTGGGGGTGAGCTCCCAGGCAGAGGAAGCAGAACTCGTGCCGGTCTTTGCGGTGGAGCTTGGTCCGGCAGCCACCGCACCGTCTTCGTCCGACGCCGGATGGCGAAGGAGTTCTCGGACGAGGAGGAGTAGACATCGCGATCTTCAATGGTGAGTAGAACTTCTCTCAATGGCGCCAGAGTTCAAAGTGGAGAGCATGGACTGCTGTGGGCTATTTATAGGAGGTTCTGCACAGTGATTGGAGCATTGAGTTCTCTCTGGCGGGAAGCTAGGTGCTTCTGGAGTCATACCCAAAGCGAGCCTAAGGGGCGTAGCACTATGAAGTAGAACAATAACTGATATTTATGTTTACCCAAAATTCTTTACCTTCTTTGTCAATGATCTTCATTTTAATTGATTGCATAGGTCTGGCTTAATAATCCATAGTACGCTAGTGCAAAAACAGAGCACACTTTGTGAATAGATACATATTTCTGATTACAGTAAGTTTTGCATCGAAACAGAACAATTTAACAAAAAGAATGAATCCGGTAACAAAATCTTGTAAATCTAGGATCATTTTACTCCAGGTTGATTATAATCCGTTGTTGTTCATTTGACCCCAGTTTGCATGTATTCTGTGTTTATCCTCACACTGATGGCTGCTCTGTGATGCTGTGATCGTGCTGCTTGTTCCTCCTCTGAACCTCACACATCTCTTTAGGTGCGTTCGTTCCTAACTTTTCCCTCTGTTATGTGACATTGGAAGTGACAAGTGAAATCAAAAGGTTCCAGGGTGATCAGAGCCACGCGGCTGAGTCAAACTCGGCGACGGGCCGTCACTTCCACACGCAGCTACGGAGCCTTTGTGATGTGAAAGTGTCAACGTTTTTAAGTCGAGGCGGCAAAGGCAAAGATCAGCAGAGATCACACAGAACACTGTAGCGGAAGGTGAATGAAGCTTTCTGCAGGGTTTGAAGGAAACTGCGATACTGTGCAATAAAAATACATAAAACTTAATATTGAAAGAATTCTAGTATCAATTCTGCATTCAAACTTATGGATAATCGAAATGGACCTGTAGGGGCTTTTCCAATCATGACTTGTATCCTGCACTGGTGGCAAAAAAAATATAAACATGATTTAACAAATATTGACCTAAATATGGACAATGTTTCTTTATGGACTTTTGTGTTATTTGTAATGTAGAGGACAATACTTCAAAGAGCCCGTCATCTGCTTGTCACTATGATATTTTGATTTGTCTAAAATTATCTACAGCAGATTTTTCCAATCACTCCAATCGTTTTTAAAAGTTTGCCTCAAGGTGAGATGCCAAACTATGCTTTAAAGGTGATGTCAGCAACTTTGAATGTATTTAATTTTTAAAAAATAATGTGCATTTCTGACCAAGCTCTACCTCCTATTAGCATAACGACTACCAGTGAGATTTGCAGGAGAACAGTTAAAGTATATAGGAGGATTTTCTACTTCCTGGTGGATCATCAAGACTATTGGTCCTCCCAACGTGATACGTGCTCGTCAAATAAGACCAGAGTTTTGTTAAAAAATTGGAGAGGGCGGTACTTTCCTAAAACTTGGAATAATTCTTCTATATAACTTTAACTCGGCAAAAAATTATTGAAACAATAAAATAATGATCAACTCGCCCCCCTTTAGGGTTGACTTTGTCCAATCAGGAAGCTGTGTGGGTGAGAGTGGGCGGATCTAACCAGTGTTTGTCTTCAATAAGTGTCACTCTCTCTTCTCAGTGTGAAAAGTAACTGACATATCCTTTAATTAATAAATAAATAAAATATAGAATTTAATAAACATGGTGTGTTTTTGTCTGTTTTTCTGTTATATGGACTCTTTGTGTGTCTGAATTAAAGATCAAATAAATACAACACTCAACTACTATGTTTTACCAGCATTATTTCAAACATGACATACCCTTTAAGCTATGTATTTGAGAATACTGTACATCCATGGCACAGAAAGATAATTAGTCCGAGTGAGTTTGATCAATATTCCTTCAGACTGTAAAGGCATCAGCAGCTAATTCAGGTGGATTTAGACGAACTGTTATTTTTCGTATGTATCTGCTTCAAACAGACCACTGGGTATGGTCGGAGGGATCAGGGAGGATCAGCACAACCAGAGTAGATTTTAGGGACTTAATACATTTCCTTACATACGTCATCCTTCCCGTTTTAACAAAGAGAAACCAGGGTTAGGAGGAGGTTTTACAAACACTGGGATATATACATACACTGGTGAGATTCAAGTTGAACAGTCCCTTCTGTGACAGCGGCCAAAGCGACAACAGTGCACAAGCAGAGGGTCAATGTGCAATATTGAAATTGAAACGATAAAAGCAGAGGGGGTGGGTGTGCGGAGGGGGGCAGCACAGGACGTTACCTTGGTGGCACTTCTGAGGTGGTCGTAGTACACTTCTTCAATGGCCTGGAAGTAGATCACCCCCTTCAGCTTGGTCTCGTGTTTATCTGTTGCAAATAGCACAGCATTATTATTGTGTTCGGTGAGAATAGTATTTGTAGTGTAATAATACAATAGGTCACTGTCAATTTGATGCTAAAATATAACTATAACTATACCTCGCTCCCATCTCTGTGTGGAGTGAGAGACAAATGCCCAAAAATAACAATTGTAAAGCGCTTTGTGACTCTGGTCTGTGAAAGGCGGTATATAAATAAACATTAGTTACTTACTTACTTACTATCACATGTGCAAATGTAAACGTTTTAGCTTTACAAATTTTAGACTTTACATTTTTGTGGCTGAAAAAGAGCACCAGCCACCACTCAGCCAATTTAACAATTCTCAAGTTTTCTGACAATTTTACCTGGTTTGTTCACAAAATGTTACTTAAACAAGACTCACTTTTGGGTGTATTCATGAAACAAACAAGTTAGGTAGAGCAGCTTTAACTCAAAAATGGCGATCAAAATGTGGTCATTTCAACAAAACCTACAGGTGATTTCTGTAATTCAATTTAAACTGTTAAACGAACATTATGATGTTACTCATTATGTGAAAACAGTGTCAATCTTTGTTTTGGAAGATTATGGCTCAAAGCTGTGAGCCGATTACTGTAAGGTAGACATGTAATAAAGCTGAGAATAAAGGCTTGATATATGTCACTTTGCATTATTCAGTCAAACAATAGTTTCAAGTAAATAGACTCTTCAACAATATTATAATTTTCACCAGTATTGAGACCCCATTGGTAAGGCTAGATAAAGAATATGTATGTTTTAAAAATCTGCATGGTTTCTTCAAAGTAACAGTGAGAAAGTTTTATTTCAGAAAGCTTTAGTTCAAGTATGGGACAAAAAAGACAAATAATCCATACATTCACTGTTGTTTGGTTTCGGTGTCAATGCGAATAACGACAACAAAAAAACTTGACGCTCTGACATCTGCACACGCACGAGCCCCTGTTGCTGCAGCGCCAGGAACCAAAGTTTTGTCAGATCAACAGCGTCACACTGCGTGAACGATGAGCTAATTAGGAAGCACTGTCCAACTTTGATCATGACCAATTTATAGTTTTTGATGATGGATGGAAAAAGACAAGCGCAGCAGTTTTTGCCTGTTTTTAAAACCAATGGGGCTCATTGTATTTTCAGACTGACTGCCTTCTTACGCCGCTGTGGTAAATGATTGCAGTTTGTTTCATCAGCCTCTGCAGAAGCGCAGTGAGGAACTGGTGGGGAACTCGACGCCCCTCTCTACCTCCAGGCACAAACACTGCACAAGCCAACTTAAGAGCAGTAGGTAGAAACGCAGCACTTCATTTCGAGGAATAATAGTTTCCTTTAAACGCGCAGCCATTATCCAGCTAATGACCTGTTTAGCATTCAAACAGCCCCGTGTTTGCATCTCATTTGGTTTGTGAGTAAACGAGCCAAAACAGGAGTTGAGGTTTGATTAGCGCGGATTAGCGGCTCTTCCTCGAACTTAGCGCGCCCGTCACCCCGGCGTGTTTTGCTTCGCTCAAGGTCAAGAGACAAGGGCGCGTGTCTCTGCAGCCCGCTCCTGGGAGGACGGGCGGCGGGGAGCATCTCAACTAGCACCAAAGTAACGTCAGAACACCCCCTCGCCCTGGCCTGCTTTCAACAAGGTACGCTTTAAGCAGCTTTAAGCGGAACCTTCTGAGGACTTCAAAGGGCTGACAGCCAGTGTCCCAGAGCTCAGTGTGCAACATCAAATTACACCGGTGCGCCATCCACACACACGCGCACGCACATACACACATACACACACGCAGGCACACGAGGCGTTCAAGGTCTGGAGGACGCCTGTTTGACTCGGCGCTCCCTCCGACGCTCCACTTTCAACTGAAATATTAACGAGTTCAGCATTTTACAGCCCAGCAATACATAGTCTATCAGCATGTATGTAACTTATTTATGGGATGGTATAGTTGTTTATGCACATCCATTTTTTAAAGCTCAGATTCGTGTCAGATTACAAGAAGAAAAATAACTATTAAAACTTTAAACTAACAACAAAATAAACAATTTAACACAATGTAGCTAGTTCCTGGCTCAAAAACAGCTTGGTTCTATTACTAGTTCAAATACACACACTCAAATGCGTGTATTTTGTCTCCTCCATCACTTCTCAGACAGAAAAGTAAAAGTGAGAGGACCACCCTCACTCCGACAGTCAGCTCTCAGCCCAAAGAGTCAAATAATGACTCACAGGGCTCTTTCTTACAAGTCTCCAAAAGATAACATGTGTCGGTTTGAACAAATACAATGCAATTAAGACATTGTACCCCAGCATTAACTCGAGCTCAACTGAAAGGAATTGTAACGATTTTGTAAGTATACGGTTTTTGATTTACAAAGTCAGAATGATGTTGTAATCGAATGTAAGAGACTAATACAAGTTTCCAGGTGTAGGGTTGACATGTTCAGACCACACACTCTAATATAGTAATATGATTCTACTGATGACAATTTGGATTTTTTTAGACACGGATTGGATTTATTAGCATTAGGTGTTTATTGTTTTAATTACAACCAATTAACAACAACTAACACATTAAATTCAGCGATAATCATAATATTGAAAACATATAAGGGCTGTAATCCATTAATCCTTTAGCATTTTACAGCATATACATGAAAGGCATATCTTGGTCCAAAAGTTGACCCAAAGGAAACTAGAGTAATGTACTTTGAGGACATGTTGATCGTGTTTACTAGCAGCCAAAATGTATCACTAAAGGTTAACTTGATCTCAGCAATGCCATCCAGTGTATTATTTATGTTCACGGCATTTCAAGTGTAAGCAATAATAATGAGTGGATTAGTAAACGCAGAGGAGGAGGTCCTTACCAACGTAGTAGGAGAAGGTGCGTTTCAGGCGATCGAAGACGAACCAGCGTTTCTTCCACGACTTGATCTTTCCGCCCATTTTGACCAGGTTTCCTTTGCACATCTTTTCGGTGACGATGACGTGGAAACATGTGTCCACGTTGTGTCCGGACGAGTCCACGTGCGAGCGCAGGTCAAACTCCTCTTTCCTGATCGGCAAGTAGCGGGTCATCGGACGAGCCTGGACGAAAAGAGCACCAAAGAATTTAAAACGGTGTAGCAACATACAGTAGTGGGGAAATAACCACAAAATTGACATTTGCCAGAAAAGGAACATTTTAGGGATTGAATGAATAAGTGAATTAGTGATTGCAGACTGATTGAATAAAAGAATTCATTCAAAAGGAGAAATATATGTTCAAAACTAAAATCTAAGAATAGAAAAAGGTGCTCCAAGGGGATATTTGCTCTTCATAATGCTAAAGTTGGAGATTTTAAGACTTCTTTCATTATTATGCTAAAGAGAGAGATTTTATACTGCTTCTTTTTATGCTAGCATTAGAGTTTGTATTTTATTCTAGTATAGAGTTATTATTCATACTCTTGTGCTGTGTGCTCCTCATTCCTACTGTTCTGTAACTGAAATAACCCCACTGTGGGACGAATAAAGGATCTCTTAATCTTAACATATTTTCCGCATGCTGTTTATTTAGATAATGCGTTTAATGGTTTGAAACAGTTTTGTTCAGGATTTTCAATTGAGTTTTGTGCTTTACAAATAAATGTGATTGTTTGCTTGATGAATACATGAAGTGCTTCTATCCACCTTCTGCAGACGGTCATCAGGGATTCATAAAACCACAGATATATATATATACATGGAACATTCGGTTTAGACAGTACAAATATAAACAGTGAGTATTAATGTATACATGTATGTAAATTAAAAAAAATCATTCCCTCACATTAACTCATGAATATACTTTCCCAAGAGGCATGGAAAATATAGGTCTTTATTAAACTAGCAACTAAATTAGGAACATTTGAGGTTAGCATTAATTTGAGAGAAAAATAACCACTTTGTTGCATAAAAAATGTGTATCAATATAAATAGTAAGTAATCTTTATTTATATACCGCCTTTTCACTGCAGATCTGAGTCTCAAAGCGGTTTACAATTGTTAATTTTGGGCATTTGTCTCTCACTCCACACAGAGATGGGAGCGGGGTCGCCAGTACAGGAGGCGCATGCTAGAACTATTAGACATATTTTTAGTGGTAGGGGAAACCGGAGTACCCGGAGGAAACCTACGCAGACACAGGGAGAACATGCAAACTCCACTCAGAAAGGCCCTGGTCCGACCGGGATTCGAACCCAGGACCTTCTTGCTGAGAGGCGAGAGTGCTATCCACTCTGCCACCGTGCCGCCCATGGTGGCACTATCAATAAATAGGTATTGATCATAACCATTGACTTTGGTGAGTTACTTGAAACGTTTGCAGACCTGAGCAAAGTTCTTGGACCTCATCTTGACCTCCTTCTCGATGAGCTGCTCCCGATGCAGGGTTTCGTCCTGGAGTCGTTTCTCTGCCTCCTCTCTCCTCCTCCGCTCCTCATCAAACATCTGTCGCCGGGCAAGATACTCTCGCTCCTACAGGCAAAAACAGTCACCAACACTGCATAGCATTGATCCAAAATAACTTCTACAGGTTCATAGTGATAAAAGAGCCGCGTTTGAAATGATTTTCTGCCTAAAAAGGCTTTAAAGCTGCTATAAAAGTGATAAATACGGGAATTATTTATAAAGCGATGCCAACTTTCTTCTCCTGCCTTCAAAATGTATCGACTTCCTTGTTGCTTATTGTAAACATCAGCTTCGCACTGGTGTCATTTATCTTCTGGTATAGATTTATTTGAACCCAGCGTGAAACATAACTCACTCGAGATTCAATAAGTCTGGCTTTTTCAAGTTGAGCCTCCTTCAGCATCTTCTCCATCTCCTCAATCTTTAGAGAGTCCAGGCCTCCGACACTGTAGATGAAAACAAAGGAATCATCATTTGACAAAGGCTAATGAGAGTGTAGAAGTCAAATTCATTTCATTTAAAGCAACATTTTTCCGCATTATGTTTTTTGTCCCAACAGAAACAGGCTACAAAACATTGTCTTCATCTTTTTAGAAAATGTATTATCTATATCTGGAAAGATCAATGTGAGTCACTTTGGGCTGAGAGCTCTTTTGTTACAGTATATTCTGTCTGAAAAAGCTGATCTACAGAAGTGACAACAATATATGCATGTTACGAGAGCTAGGAACTGGTTTGTAAGTAAGTACGTTTTATTTATATAGCACAATTCACAAACCAAGATCACCCAAAGTGCTTTACAATGTTTTGGAGTACAGAAGCGAGACGCTGAAGACTATTGTATGTTTGAAGTGGCAGGGGGGAAACCTACATAGACACGGGGGGGACATGCAAACGCTACACTTGTGGTTTGAGAGTTGGTAACTTTGTAAAACTGAAGATTTGTAACTACCGCAAAAGTTAACAAACAAACAGTAAAATATAGTAGTAGTTAAAAAGTTTGTTTGGCAGAAACTAAAAGTGCAGGTACAAGCATAAATCAACAAGAATATTACTGGTGACAATGGATGGAGTCTAATGTAATATTTGTGCTGGATCATCTGTCCGGTCATAACGTCGTATTTATTCAGAAATCATGCCTTGGAATAACACTGTCCACTTTGCTTTCAGTGTTATACAATGCGGACATTTTGACAGCTGTCTATGAGAGCAGCTATCAAAACGACGCAGGAGGTAAAAACTACTTACTCAGACTTACAACAGACTTTGCCACCACTTAAATAAAAAAATAAAAAAATAAAAATAAACATGCACTTTGTCATTTTGCCTTCCTCCTGTGGTAGCTGTCATTTTTCTCAGTGCCATGTTTAAAAATGACGATTAATAGCTGTACGATTGGTCTCGAGGGAGCTGTAAAAAGCTGTTATGAGCGAAACGCGCCGTTGCACACACAGCTGAGGGTTTAACGTTACACAGCGATGCCACGTGGACAGATGGCACTGAATGAGCTGATGTTGGCACAAGGACGCACCCTGGACAGCTGAGGGTAATCCTGAGTTTGATATGAGACTGTAAAACTCTGATCAGCCACTATTCTATCATATGCATCTGTTAGCAAAGGCTTTAATGTTATGTGATGTGCAGTTAACTGTTATGCAACGTCATCATTCTTTTTTTTTTACCCCATTTTTCCATCCCTTTAGTAAAGTGTCAATGACAATTTAGACTTTACTTTACACAGAAGTCAAGATGGTCATTTTACTTCTTGTTTGTAAATGCCAAACTGGAAAATGTAATTTGATAATTTAATATGAATTGTAGAATATACTTTGATTTAGTGGAGAGAATAATTTAAGATGTAATTATGGCAAACTTTATCATGAACTGTGAATCTCCCCCTGTTTTAGAACACTGCTCTACTTCCTGAAAATTTACGTACTTTCATTTTTTCTTTTAATCTAGACTTGCATATTTTTAAAGAGTCTAAAACAGAGAAAAAACTGAACCTGAACATGAACAATGATAATAATAATGATGATGGCAACCAGTATGTGCCATCACCCCCACTTTCGAGAGCTGTGGAAAGGAGTTGAACCGAGGACTGTTTAAAAAGCACTTGCTTATGTGAAAATGTCTCTACCTGGACAAATTATCTGGGGAGCAGGCAGAGTTGTTGCCGGTGGAGATGCTGGTGTCCATGCTGTCGGAGCTCTCCAGGCTGAGCGTATCGTAGGGCTGCTCTCGGGCCGCGGGCTGGTGGTGCAGGATGGAGTGGTGGTAGGGCTGCAGGGGGGAGCAGGAGGGCGAGGGCGGGGAGGGGCTGAGGAGCTGCGACTGGGATCCATGCAGTGCGTCCCATTGGCACTGGGCCTCCACTGCGGCGCGCTGCTTCAGCTCCGCCAGGCGCCGCCGCTGCTCCTCGATCACCTGCTGACCTGGAGATGGGAGCATTTACTGTACAAGATTGAACATGTGTGAGAAGGCCACATCCAGACCCTCCAGGGGCCTGTGGAGGTTTGTGGAGCACAATAAGTTTATTTACAGTTGTGCTTGAAATGTTGGACACCCAGCCAGAGATTTTATGAAACACTTTCTTCACTCATCACTAGTGGTTGTTGCATTTGGTCAAACACATTTTTATTTTTTAATTATAAAATCATTGATCTGCTCTGGGGAGTTCCCAAAGGCAGCTCATGGATGTACAGTAATAGGCCTGGAGGTTTTTTTGCCAAGAAGAAGCAGCTTTAGCATCAGAGAGGAAGAAGAACCTCATCCACTAGCTTCTTTACATGTTTGTCTTATCAAAAGCCTTAAAAATGAGGAGACATAATGAATTTTTTATATTTATTTGAACCTCATCCATAACCACCACAAAAAGACTTCTATTTGTCATAGATGCAAGAGAAGCAAATACACAGTTATGAGAACTTCTAATCAGCTTAATCCAAGTCATTTCTGTCTTGATTATGATTTGAAAATAGAAAATGAGTGAAAAAGGTTTTGCGTCTCATTAAAAAAAAAATCAAAAAACTTTCTGGGTGTGTAAACTTCCAAGCAAAACTACATATTTCACCATTATCACATCGTTGACATAAAAAATAAAAATAAATTGTTCAGGACAAACTTGCATGCATAAAGTGCACTTTATGTAAATATCACAAATGAGTAATAAAAAGTAACTATAAAAATGTGATTCCTGAGACAAAAAAGAGAAATCTACTTTTTCATCCTTGTGGCAGGAATAACATGTTACGCATAACTAAAAGTGACTAATAATGTGGTTGATAACAATTGTAGTAATGCTAAGACAAAAGACATGTGCTTGTCCCCACTCTCCACAGTCCACTGGAAGGGAATAATAAAACATATTAGTTTTTCCCTCAGGACAGAGGGTAAACAGATTAATAAACCAGAACGCACGCAGCAACCGTAGCATCCCACACGACATAACCACATTATTACACTTCCACCAAACCCCCCAAACCACTGCCCATGCACCGCACATAACCAGACATGTGTGCCCTTTCTAAATACAGAAAGTTTAACAGCTATACAGACATTTCACCTCAGTCCCGGGTCCCAACACCGAGCCAAGATCAATATCTACCAAGGAGGAGCACACTCGGAGCTCCACACCACCAGTGATGGGAATAACGGCGTTACTAGTAACGGCGTTACTAACGCCGTTACTTTTTTCAGTAACGAGTAGTCTAACTAATTACTTTGACAGTAACTATAACGCCGTTATCATTTCCGACATCCCGTTACTGCGCGTTACTCAAGACGCACAATGAACGTGTTGTCATGAGAGAAGGGAGGATGAGAAAACCTCTCAGCAATTATTGGCTGATGTAAATCATATTTCCTTTACAATCCACATGTCTACAGTTGAGAGGATGGCTCATAAATTGTGTTTTTGAAACAAATATGGGTCTTAATCGCGCTCAACCACGGCTTGTATCACCGTGAGGTCAGCCACAGAGGAGCGCATGTGAGCGCAGAAGTCGGCTACATACAATTCCATCGATAAGCTCCTTGCTCTTCCTGGTTTATCTGCTAAGGACAGCAACAGGTTTGGCTAACATACATATAACACATTTTTACATAATCTAAAATGCACATAGGGTAATTTTTCAATTACTATAGGAATGATAAGAAAGAGAGGTGAAGTGTAAGACGGTTGATTTTAGAAATTGGATGCAGCCGGCTGCAGCAAAACAGAGGAGTTTACGGAGGACACACGCGTTTTGTTTTACTTTTTAAAACTCATTGGACTCATTTCCAAATGGAGGATTACATATCTACGCTCAAACCATTCACTGGATTTAAACAAGGAACTGGTCTGAACCGAAGTGGACTGTGCAGGTCATTTATAAGGTAAGACCCATAACTCATAGTTTTGCGTTTTGTATGAACAAACAATGCGGGCATAAAACATATTTTGCTGTAGCCAAACAAATTGTCCACTTGATTTATATGATGTATATGTTCATCTGATTGGACTGAAGTCAGTGCTTCACCAGCCTCACCGCTCGTCACCGGTGTTTCCACATTCACAGTGGCGGGCTTTACAGCACAGAGAGATGAAGAGTGAACAGGACTTCAGCAGCAAAACAGCCTTTTCTAGATGGAAATATTGGCACTGTTAAAGGTAAAAATGCGCACGTCGGGTGCACATTATGTTCCAGAACAAAACGAAAAAGTAACGCAATAGTTACTTTTACTGGTAACTAGTTACTTTTATAGTGGAGTAACTCCGTTAGTAACTCAGTTACTTTTTGGGAGAAGTAACTAGTAACTATAACTAATTACTTTTTCAAAGTAACGTGCCCAACACTGCACACCACACATGCAACATTTATCCATTTGCAGCCAGACTGTTCATAGAAGATTGATGGAGCAGAGAACGAGAGCGCTCAATGCTTCAGACAAAGGAAAGATGAAAAGGATTTTATTGGAGAGAGGAGATAATGACACAGAGACTTGGGTTATAGAGTGTGAAAATGCACGAGGCAAGTGTCAAGTGCTGGTCAATGTTAGCTTTGATGGAGAAATCGATACAGGAAAGCTGCGAGTAGGGCTTTACTTTCAACTTGGGCTGGAATTTCTTAACTCAAGTCTTTGGTTTGTTTTGTTTTTTTGCTCAGTTGAAGATGTCTTGTTAGCTTTTTCATGTACTAGAAGAGAGATACGTTCTGGACTCATGGTACTGAATGTATTCTTTTTCATACAGCATGCACTCCAAAAAGAGTAGAGATAAAAGAGAAGATCTGTGTAATTAGAAGTGAAGCAGAAAGAGATTAGATCAGGTTAAGGAATGCAGTGAAAAGCAGAGCGGATGCAGAAGGCCCTGGAGCTGACTACCTGCAGATCTGCCCTCACCGCTGCTCTGTCTGCAGGTCAGGGGCTCTGTGGGCAGCGACACGGAGGTCAGCAACGAATAAAGAGCATGTGGGCAGTCCGATAGGGTCATTATTCAAGACCCACTTCTTTGGAAAATAACAGGTGTGTATAAAGCAACAGTACAAACACTTACATTACAGGCATTTGTGAAAGAATATTTTTTTTAAAGAGGTCATTTCAAATGCACATGATACCTTTCTGCTGAAGAGCCAGCTGCCTCTTGTTCTCGATGTCCTGAAGAGTTGCTGCCAGGTTTCTGGGCAAACTGCCAGTGCAGTTAGCAGCCAGCAGGGGGCTCTATGTCATCAAAGCAGGAGACATGGTTAATGCCAACATGAGTCACCATGGCAGATTTAGATTGTATTTAGATTATATATACTGTGCATTAAAAGCCCTGTACCTTGGAGCAGGAGTTTCGTCCCAGTGTGGAAGCTCCATGGAGCAGGGGAGAGGGAGAGCCGGACCTGGAGGAGAGGAGGGGTGGTCCTGGATCACTGTCCAACTTTGAGCGAAACACCTGAAGAACAGATGAGCAGAAGAATAAACAGTTGATACTTGAGTGAAGCAGAGGCAGTGATGCCAGACTGAGCCTCAGTTACAGCTGCAGCACACCTGCAGAGAAACGTCTTAAAAGCACATTTAGTGTTATGCAGTCAAACGTTTAGATAAATGGAGCTTCAATCAGCTGTTAATTTCACTCTGTGAATAAGAATATCAAAGACGTCGTATGCACACAGCGCCTTTTCATTAAAGAGATTTTTGATCAAACGCTTTAAACTTAATTCTGCCTTTTTGTAAGTACTGTAAGCTTCAAAGTCACAACTTCAAAGTGTGAGACATTCACTTATTTCAATTGATGGTTCTGCAGACTCTCTGCTGAAGGCAACTGAAGCCGCTTTATTCTAACACCAGCACTGTTCATACATGTAGTATCAGTGTTAAGTGATCAGTAAACCAGTATCTACTACACTGCACAGTGACACAGCATCATACTCACACAAAGGTGAAGCTTTGAGCAATAGAAACACACAGGAGAGAAGAGAAGCTGGTACCTGCAGCGCTGCTCTGCGACTGGACAGAGACTTGGCTGGAACAGGAGGCGGCCCGAGCTCCGCGGAGCCCGACATCAGCTCCCTGTACCACTGCTCTAAATCTAGTTTAGGAAGGCGCGGCCTAGAGGACTCAGGCTGGTACTGCAGCGTGTGGAGGAGGTGAAGAAGGACAGGCAGAAATGGAACAGACAGATTAGAAAGCATTCAGAGAGCATGTGTTTTAAGTGAATATTTCAGGCTGAAATTAAGGTTTTAATGAAAATGTCTTCCTAAAATATATGCACTATATTACGGTTGTCAGCTGCATTTTCTTGAAACCCTTGAGCAGCCTTCCTTATTTTACATTTCTATAGTCTTTTATTCATGTTGCATTACACTGACCCGATTCCCATACAAGCTTTATACTTTATTCAACTTTATCAGTCCACAGTATTTTAGCATATGATAGGTTTTCTAAAGATGAATAAGGTCTCAAAATTGAACTACAATAGGGGCTTCTGCAAGACCAAAAATATCACATAACGATGAGATGCAATCCAAATGCTATTTGTATGTATTTGTTTTGAATTATTTCAGCCACATTTTTTTCAGTTAGTATGGCTGAATAATTATATAACATATGAATTCCTTTCTCTGCTGTAATGTGTGCAACGATGACACTGAAATTTCTCCACTGTGAGACTAATAAAGGTTCATCTTATCTTATCTTAATTGCGATTGGATTTGCAATACATGCTTAAAACGATAGATCAGACCCACGATCTGAGTGAAGTAAAAAGTTCAGACCACAACATGCGGTTTTCATCTTGAGAACTGATTGGCTGAGTGAGGAAAGTCCTGTCATTTTGAGCTGATGAGGTGAAAAAAAATTGATAATTGCAAATTGTGACTTATTGTGCAGCTTTAAAAAGTTGTGTACACTACAGTAGATATAATATATGACTAAAGATTATTTCACTCTTCAATTAGCCTAGTTTTTAAATTAGAAACAAGAGGAAGATATGGAAAGTAGAAAGGAAAGGATCAATTTGCAGCGGTTAAATTATGATGAGCTAATAGAGTAGGAATCACCCACAGGAAGCAAGACACACACCTCCACAGAGAGAGAGAGGGAGGAGCCATGGTGACAGGGGAAGCGCGGGAAGGCGGGGTCTCCTGCTCCCAACTGCAGGGGCGAGGTGGGGGAGGACTCCACTTTGGGCATCCCGTACATCTGACTTAACTGTCCCACTGTCACGTATTCCTTCAGCGCGGCATAAGACCACGCACAACGCACACACACACACACACACACAGGGGACAGAGGAAGGAGCGTGAGCGCGAACAGGCGAACAGGCGACCAGGAGATAAACAAGGAAACACCACGGTGAAGGGAGAACATGCAACGTCACGGAAAACTCAAGCAAAAACATCTGCAGCAGGTTCATCTGTACAGGATTAAAACAACACAGGGACCACAGCAAAAGCGCACGGGCTTTCACATCGATGTCACTGAAACATATTTTAAGGAAAATAGAAAAGTTGAAAAAAAAAACAGCCATAAATTATATATTGCCTCTTATAATAATAAGGAAAACTATATATATTTGAGTACTTTATGCCACGGACACAATTGCATTAATACAGTAATGTGAGACTTCCTGTAATCATGTTTTTATTAATCATTAATTGTTATTAAAATCATTAAATATAATTTATGAGAAAAAACAAATAAGCACCAAGTATTACAAGTCCATCCATTATCATTTATCAGGCTCATTTGAATCAACTTCTATGATTAGTTATAAGGCTAACTATTATATCAGTGGCATTAGGTAGTTTAAGGACTTAATCAAATAGGTCAGATGGGCTATAAATCAAACAGAAACGGAAAGCCCACAGTGCAGACATCAGACCAGCAGAGGGAGCAATGTCCGAGAAAAGATCTGAAAGGTCACTAGCCTTGTCCAAATAAGGTTTCTGTCCCCCACCATTTCTCAAGTCCATAACTGTCAATCATGCCTTCAGATGAGGATGCGTTCATGAGAGCAATGTAGTAAGTTCCCAAGTAATTAAAAAACATAGTGTTCAAATAAATTTACAAACATTATAATTAGTAATTTTCTTTCAAGATAAGAATGAATACAGAAAGAAAATCCTTGAGGAGTGGCCTACAGGATATAAGTCTCATGGTTGAGCAGAAATGTGCCAAAGCTGGACCTAGTAATTTACTGTTTTTTAGACGTGTTCTCCTGATTGAGTAGGATTTACAATGGAAGAAGTGGAGGAGGCAAGGAAATATATTTAGGACGAGGCCAAAGAGATACTCAACACAAACAGGAAGTGCATGTACGTGTCTGCTGCTGTATGCATAACAGACAGCACCACACCAGTTTGTACGGTCAAAGACAACACCACTACTGTCACACCAATCAGGCCACACACAAAGCCACAAGGCCAAATCGTTTATCCAAGAGTGCAAAAACACGGTGGAGCTAGTGTCAAAAGGAAGTTGGGAAGTGAGACTGACACTTGTTGAAGACCTTGCATTTGTTACTCTTATGACACATTGTATTAAGATGTTTATTAAACTAGACAAACTGTAAAAAAAACACTTTGATTGTCTGTTGATAAATTGTGTTCTATATGTGTAATGCCTAGATTGTGCAAAACTAGATGGCCATAATAATCTGACATATCAAAACGGAATGTCCAGCCTGGTGATAACTCATGCTTGTTGTGTATATACACACACAGAATAAATGTGTGTAAAACCTATTATGTGACAGATAAATACAGTATTACATATGTTTAAGAGTCCATGGAGCCGCACAGCTCAAAAAACAAAGTCTGCACTTTGTGAATAAGCGATAAGCAACATCACAATAAGCAGAGGAGCACATGTACGATCACAGGGCGACTGGACTGTGCTTCATGCAGCTCAGAGGTACCTCTGTGGGGCTGCTGGGATACAGCTGACACAGAGGAAAAGGGAGAGAGTAGGAGCGAGAGGCTCGAGAGAGAGAAGGCCGACAGGAGCGCTCCAACAGCATGGCCTCGCTCGAGCGCCGCACCTCCTGCTGTGAACAAACTTCAATCACTTCATCTCCAGCTAAACCCTACGCTGTCTTCAGGTGTCATGAACCTAGTGTGTTACTTTCACACATTAAAAACATTCAGGTTTTAGGGAACGAGAAAAGAACATAGAAAAGAACCCAATGGCACAAAGTCACTCATGTTAAGCGGAATGAGATTTTGCTGTTATGAATCTGGGGTTACTTTACCTCTCTCATTGCAGTGGTCGACTTTGGAAAACTCCTTCCTCCAGTCAAACCATGGTACCGCTTCTCCAGGGCAGACAGTCTGTCCTTTTCCTGAAATAGATAATTACATGATTAATACATTTAACTATGGTTATTTCTGTGGAGGTGTAAAAGCTTTGAACCTTTTGGAGCATCTGCAGAGTCAGGGTCCTGTCTTTGGCCAGTCGCTCACACTCCTGAGAGGCCTGCAGACCCAGTTGACTGGCCTGGTTTTCCAGAGCAGACACTTTGTCCTAAAACCAATAAAAGCAAATGTAATCCTGTTGAATATCCATAAATATACTCCATCATGCCTCTGAGAACTGCTATCTTTAACTTATCAATGACAGGAGAGCTATAAAACAAACTGTAAATAATTGTGCCTGAGTCTAATTGTTGAACCAAATGTACAGATAAGTGTCCATCGGAGTCAGAGAGTTGTTCCCACCTTCCTCTTGGCCAAGCTGCCCTGGTACTCTCCTCTCTCTTGCTGCAGCTGCTGGCTCATGTTCTCCCGCTCCTCCTCCAGGCTGCTCTCTCGCTCCAGCTGCTGAAACTCCAGGTCCTCAAACTTCTTGGTTCTTGCTTCCAGCGCCTCTCCTTCCTGACCAGACCGCACATACAAACCTCTGTTACATCAGACTCCTGGCTGATATCAACACATTGATTTGTCAAGCGGACAGCCATAAAGAACATGCTTATACTGCTGCATTGCTTGGGGCTGAGGATTTTGATACAGAATATCAGTATCAACATTTTCTGTAGTTTTCTCTTTTAGGAAATAACATGATATACAGTTGTACTTGAAAGTTTAAACGCCCAAGCAGAAAGGCCACATTCTGGAGACTGTTAATAGGTTGTGTGAAGCCTTTTATTGTCTTTGAGCCGCTCTAGGGATATCTCAAACTTATTGTACAGTTGATGCACGGCGGCCATTTTCTTCTGCTTTATCCATTGCCGGATAGTGGGGGCAGTATTCTAAGCAGAGACGCAGAGACTTCGCTCTCCATGCACCCTTCCTCAAGTTCATTCCTTAGGCAACCCTCCAGTCCGAGCCTTTCGCTGTGGAGAAGCAGTGGCTCTACCCTGAGCTCCTCCAGAGTGACTGAGCTCTGAACCCAAACCTCTAAGGGAGCGCCCAGTCACTCTGCGAAGGAAGTTCATTTTGGCCGCTTGTATCAGTGATCTCGTTTTTTCAGTCACTATCCAATGCTCATGACCAGAGTGAGGGTGGGAATGAAGATGGTAAATTGTATAAATAGTATAATTTGAAACTATAAAACAGGTTTATTTGACAATTAAGGGCTTCACACCCCCCAATCAATGTAGCCAAAAAAATTACATTTCTTCATGGGTGTACACTTTCAAACACAATATCAAAATAGCAATAATGTTCTACAGATAAACAAACTCAAGTCATATTATGTAACAGAGAATTCATACTCTTTAATCTTTAAAATGACTAAAAATACTTAAATACTTGTACTTTTGCATTGCTTTTTATGGACAACGGGGGAAAAAAACACAACTTTCTACAAGAGAAGTCACAGGATCGGAGGGAGGGACATCAAAGAATGGATCTAGTCAGGCTCGTGTTAATTGATTAGTGAGCTGTTAAGACATTATGACATGAGTTGCAACAGATCAACAGACGAAGCACAAAACAAATCACACATGCAGCGGGGGCCGATTTGACCAGTGGAAGCAGCAGCTGACAGGGCCGTGCTCCAGCCGAGAGGAGGTGCGGTGGGTCAAGACCTCGGAGCGGCGTTCACAGAGGCAGCGGCACGTCTGTGAGAGCTTTGGGAAGGCAGGTGTGTAATGTGTGAGGACTGCAGTGCACGGGACTCCAGCGCAAGGTTAAAGGTCGCAGTGGCACTACAGCTCGAAAGGCATGGGCACATTGAGCACAGAGCTGGCAAATGTACATGCTCTATTCTAATGAAGGCAGGCGGACACGGACCAAACCAACTAAAATGTGCATTTGACTTTTTAACTCACATGTTTTTTATGTCTGAATTTACAGTAGATTTGAAGACACTGATATAATCAACAAGACAAAGCACAATAGCTGATTTTTTTCACTTCCTCAAAAATGGCTTATGGTGATGCAGAGAGTATAACTGCCCTACACTGTAAATATACATAATGCAAACAAGTAAATAACTGGTTCCAGTGAGTGTTATTCATCTTGTGTTCTTTCTTAAATCAGGACTTGGCAATAGAACCGGAAGTATCAGCAGCACACTAGTATTTTTCTTGTTAAAGTGAGAAAGTGACACAACAATGTTTGTTCTGATGGCAAATCATACTTCAGAGGAGTCGAACTAAGTGTATCAAACTTTTCTAGAACAAGGTTTGTCATGAGCTTGTTTCCAAGTACGTGTATGTAGTTGGGCTTTAAGTCTACTCTTCCCAAGTCACAGATCTGCATGGATGAGGGACAGTGAGAAGACAAGGTGGTTTTAAGATTTTAAAGCCAGAAATGGAATAACTCAACGGTAAACTTTGATGCTATATTTTGAAATATCTCTGAGACAAGTAAGACCTAAGTATTGTATGAATATTTATTAATAAATAGTCTGCTTATTCATGCTTATCTATGTGTACACGGCCACTTCTTGAACACAGGGACTTGGGGCTTGGTGCTTCCGCTTGACTGACAGACCCACCCTTTTGAGCTGTTCCTGCAACTGTTCGCGGAGGGACTCGGGGCAGTTATGAAGCTGGTTCTTGAGCTCCGCGTAGCCCTCCTGGAGGCTCTGCAGGGATTCCCGCTCAGTCTCAACCTTAGCCCTCTCCTAGAAAACACCACACACACGCACACACACAAGCACACGGATGGATGGACCGGGAAGAGAGAGAAAAAAACTCTGCTCAGTACACGCCATGCAAATCCAGGCTGCGGAGTTAGCAATGTCACACTTGTATGTCACAAATTCACATATCCTGTGAAGTAATAGTTCCAAATATTGGTCCTACAGCATTCATTAATTTGTCAATATTCCAGAGAGGCCCAAAAAGGCAAGTATGGGCACAAACTAAACAGACAAAGGCATTGCATCTCTTGAGTGCTGCCCTAGTTTTAAGCTTAAAATCAGATACACAACAGACCGACGAAAAGTGTAAAAAAACAGCAGCCTCAAAAGGACCAGATATAAATGAGTAAACCACACTAACGCTCAAATAACTTCACAATTCATCAAACAAGTACAAATGAATGTGCCACTCATCAATGGTGACCTCATGATGCAAACAGTAAACGATTTGAAATTGAACCACATGTAGAATCAAACAATATTTCAAAGAGAAATATTTTACAAAGGCAAGTCGAAGTGTCTGTATGGTACGAGCAGGTAAAGTACTATAAACAATGACTATACAGATGATAGAAACATGCTGAGAACTTTTGATATATACGTTCCAGGTCCACTTTGGAACAACCACATCAGTAAAAGCCGTTGTTTTCATATACGCATGCAGGTTATAGTCGTACAAAAGGCAAGCATGATGCTTGTGAGAACCAGAGAAGCAGTGGACATCAGGGGTTAATAAATGCTGGTTAAAAAAAGGACTTTAGAAGGGAAGACATGCCAGATAATGCACCCACAAAGAGAATGGTAAATTTAATCCTCCGTACGGCTCTGATTTTAGGCCCAACTCCTGACTACACCAATAACCAGCCAGGAAAAAGGTAAGAGATCAAAGGAGGCTTTTAGAAGTCAGGCAGTGAGGTTCTGTGTGGAATAATGTATGAATGAAGCCTTTGTAGATTCAGACTTGAAGGTAACAAATGTGATATCCCCAAACTCTTTCCCTGGCGCCTCTACCTTGTCTTTCTCCCTCTGAATGGCGCTCTCCAGTTCATCCAGCTTGTTTTGGAGCTGAGTGATGATGTCTGTTTCAGCATCAATTTGGTCAAGTTCTGCCTGTCTCTCGCCCTGTAGCAAGGCACGCTCCATCTCCGCCTGGAAAATTTGCCAAACAATGCGAAACAAGGAAGGGTTGGTATTAAGAATAAAGCTCAAAATCGTACACCGCATGCATTAGAGGTTCCCCCATTTGAAACTATTCAAAATTGTAACCAAGAATCTTTCAGTCTTCCAGGCTACCTCTTGTTTGGACTCTTGTAGTTGCTGTTCCAGCTCTGTCAGCCGGGTTTTGAGCTCGTCAATCCGGGCCAGGACACGTACCCGCTCCTCCTCCAGGTAACCGAGCTCCAGGCGACTAGAGCTGGATGACTCTTCATGCTGAAGCATTAAAGAAATGTCAGACAAGAAAATCACAGGAAAATGTGAAAGCAGCAAAATCAAGGTAATTTCTGTGAAACAATATTATTTCAACATGTAATATGTATTTATTGTTTATTACTGATATTTGTTTGTATTAATATTATTGTTATTAAGTGTTTTGTTTTCACTACTGTACTTTTCTTGTCGTCGCTGCTTTTAGGTTGACATCTTAATTTTATCCAGGGACAACGGATGAAAAATTGCCTTGTGGCTAATTTTGGTACATTTACAGTGGTCATTAATGTACACTGTCCCTGAATAAATGAATACAATAATTGTGTCTTCTGACTATGGTGAGAAAAGCATTGATTTAAATGAATGTTTGGAGACAGAGCCAAGCAGAGAGTTCCCATGCTGCAGACACATGCAGAGCTCCGGGGCCCGCCCTCTGACCTGTCTGTCTCCATTGTGCAGAGCGGAGCCGGGGCTGGGGCCGGGGGACGACCTCACCTCCTGATGGGTGCTTTCTGTACTGCTGCACTCCTCCTTCAGGTTCTCCTCATCGCTCTCTCTCTGTTTCTGAGCCAGACGCAGAGTGGACGAGGACGGTGTTCCTCCCAAAATGTCCACCGCTGGCCTCCCACATGTCCCCTCTGACAGTCCCCCGGGGAACCTGCCGGAGCTCAGGGGGTCGGGGCCATCTCCTTTGTTGTACTCGGCACACAAGTTTAGGATGGTCTCTAATCGCTGTCTTTCCTGTTGATACAAAAACAAACCAGGACAATCAGATGGCGGTCACACAGGGATGAAGACAAGTCTCTCACAACACAAACACATCAGAAAGCATAGGGTAAGGAGTGCTGCATGGTACAAGTGTGTAAAATTATTTAAAAAGCCAGGTGCTCAATTGGAAGAGGGCTTTAACTTAGTAACCAAAAATTGAGTTTTGATTTTCAGATAAAATGCAAATGGTGAAGAACTTAGAAAATCAAAAAATCCAAGGCACTCGTGGTGAGTGGCTTGTTAAACTTTTCTAAACTACTGACCACGAGTGCCTTGGATTTTTTGATTTTCTAAGTTCTTCACCATTTGCCTTTTACCTGAAAGTCAAAACTCAATTTTTGGTTACAAACACATCAGAACTTTGGGCTCAGAAACTAGGGCACAGGTTCAAAGCCGTAGTGAACAGTGACCCTTAGTGGTGGTTGGCACAGGCAGCACTGAGATGTGATCAGGGGCAGACGCGGAGTCTGCCAGGGCCCTGCTGAAACAACAGAGGCTCAGTCTCACAATGAGCACAGGCGGAGACTTCCTCACATGAGTCAGAGTCTGGTTGTCCAGCTGTCACTGTGCACAGCCTGGCCACCGCCAAACCTTTGACCCGCACATGTCAGCTGTGTCTGCACCAGAAGCCCCTCAAGAAAACTCACGCCACACGCTGAGGCCATTATTATTAGCTACTTACTACAATCTGCTGCCCAATAACACATTCTTAGCATTTTTGTACCAATGATTTTTCTGCTGCAGAGTTACTTTCACTTTATGTATTTGCATTGAGTCATTCAGGAGAAAAACACACAAACAAAGGGTTTATATTTTGTGTAAATTCTACAAGAAAAAGAGAAGCTCCTGATAAGACAGAACAGTATATTGTAAACAGTAAACTAAGCTTTGGGACCATGGAGGCATTGTTCCATCCTTGATCCTCTTATGTCTGAATTGCATTTAAATCCAGCTCTTGTCGCAGAGGAACACCAGAGAAGCTGAAAACTCCCACCCACAAACACCCAGCCTGGAGTTTGCTACATTTCCCGCTGAAGGAGCATCTGCCTGATTAGCAGCTACGGCGCCACCATTAGCCTCAGCCTGTAATCGAGGAGCAGTGGCTTCTAAGTGTGTAGGTGGGAGTAATAGGCCCCTTTAGGCAGATTTCTAAAAAGAGTCCAACTTTCTTGGCAGCTACTAACTACTCAAGTGTCCTCCCACTCTCCACATCTGTTTAGCGCCTCCATTTTTTGTCGAGAAAGAAGATTAAAAGCAACAAGTGTCATTGTCTGCAGTGATTGCCAGGCAGCCCCGGGCGACAAGGCAACCTAAAAGATGAATAAGTGACGTGATCAAAGAAACATTTTATAGCTAAATTTGTTTGGCGGCAACATAAACCAACAGCATGTACTATCAAATCGACAGCCAAGTGACATATGCCAAGTGAGCTAAAATTATGCATTCCAAACGGTTAAATATGGATTCACTAGATGTTTTCCCAATTAGTTTTAGGCTCTGAGGTTGAAGCTACAGATTAACAGGTCAGTGGGCTAATCTACCAAACAGCACCTCCATGTGCCAGATACAGTGACCCAATATGAAAATTGAGACGTATTCAAACACCAGTGTAGAATTACCATTTACAATAAAACTCATGTAATATAGTAGCAAATACTCACTCTCATGTTGGATGTCTGTAGAGGTCGAAAGCTTGAAAGGCACTGAGAGGCGGGCCTTAAGACAGTTGGACAAATACAGACCTTTCAAAGCTTGTTACACCCCCGTCATCTCACTCTCATAACAACAAAGACCCACCCAGCCTTAAGAGGTCGGCCCTCCAAAATATGTATATTCGGATGCTCTCTCAAGCCTTATATCAGTATGTGAGGTGTAGTTTTGAATCAATAGAAAATACATCCAACATCTATATGTAATAACCGCCAAAACACAAGTCCAGGACGTTGCCAAAACACATCTTTACGATTCTCCAAGACAACCGCATATTTTGAAAAGAATTGCACTGTTCCCACGCTCCACAAAGGCATCATCCTCCTACAGACAAGCTCTTCACGATCACATTAATGATGGCAGTGTGCAGCTATAGGCTAGAGTCACTATCATATAGCGCCACGGTTTTTACCCATTTTAATTTTACTCTTTAATCAATAAATGACATTTTTTGCTTTTCATTTGACTTCACCACACAATATGATCAAACGATAAGATAGTAGAAATAAACGGCAGTAGTAAAGTACAAATCTCTATATTTTCTCATAACAATAGACTTTTTAACAATAAATTCAAGGTGTTTTTTTCATAATCTTCAACTATTTTAGCAATTGATTAATCATTAAAATAAAACTATGCATACATGTTGCAATTTTATTATACAATTATTTTGTCTGGAAACCTTGTTGTAAGTATTACCATTCTAGAAATATTAGAATTCTAAATTTAGACTTTTACTGAAATCAGAAAAGGGTGGGCTGCAGCCGAAATGAAGGTTAGAGATCAGACTTATTATTAGATGGAGAAAAGGGACCAATGACACTAAATAATCTCATCAGCAAGGCCAATTTTTCCTGTTTTATTATGTCAGCAATAAACACATCCACCCTCTATTTGTGTCCATTGCTAAGCCTAGAATATTCCATATCGTGGAACATTAAACTTATTTGCAAATGACCCGGGTTAGAGTAAGCCTTCAACCCCAGATCTGTGGAGAGGCAAAAGCTCTCTCATAAAAGAAACATGTGTGATGATTGCTTCTCTTCCTGTCCATATATTAGTCTAAAAAACTACTCATTTGTAATTTCTGCATTTTCTCGTAGCAGTCAGCACGTCTTCCTCATGTCTTCAGCTATCTCCTGGGACTCCCTATCTCCTGTTTTTTTCTTTTCTTTACTACAGACACACTCCCTCCTCCTCCCAGTTTCCCTAAGTGCCCGGGGCATTTCCCTGCCTCTGCACCTTTGATCAGCAGTTCATTTTCACCAGTGCTCTCCTGGCTTCATCATTACAGCATACATAACAACTATATCAGTGGCGTAAACACAACATTTCATGCCCATATAGTGTGTTATGTGAGTAAACCAGTTAAGTTCAACAATGGCTTATTCTTTATATATAACTACGGGGAGATTTATAAGTCGGCGTCTGCAAAAACAAACCTATCTCAGACTGGGTTCCTCTGTGGGTACAGCGTGTTCATCTCCCACGGGAAGAAACAGCCTCACAAGAAGATGTTAACGCGACTTTGTGCTTTTCCCCTGCTGATTACACGCGCATCAAAAACAGGAAAAGCAAAAAGGCCGGTCCTACATCTCTGGATAATAAAAATAAAGCCGGTGGTCGTCTTATGATGTGACGATCGCAGCTTGGCACAGGAAGGCGGTGACATTTTAGCATCTCCACTCGGGCCCTGAGGGGAAAGCTCCGATGAAGACAGAGCGATCCAGTCAAAGACTCGCAGCCAAAAGACGCTTTCTTCAAAGGGGCACGTACAGTGATTAAAGCAGGGATAAAGCGCCAACGTCGACATTGACAAAACAGCGTGCGGAATAATGGCAGGATTAGCAGCGATTGTTTTTATAGAATGAAGATAAAGCCGGCAGGGTGCAACATGTGCAGTTAATTGCGTCAGCTTTGTAAAGTTAAACACTTTGTCAGGCACAGAAATATTGGATTAAGTATCACTGTCCTCCCAAAAGGAGAAAGTCAACAACTTTAAAAACATGATATTAGGCAATCTATTGTATTTTTGCCCTACTTCTTTTAGTTGGAACCAGAGAAACAGGCGTTGTACAAAAGCAGGACTTTCTTCCTTAATCCCAGTGGTAAAAATCTGTAACATAACCATAGCAACATCTATAACATTACCATAAACAAGATGAATAATTCAGTCTCATATAACTGTATGTATAGAAATGATTTACCATTTCAATTTTATAGTCTATTTGGCCTACATACAATATTTCTGGTTATTTCAGCACATTAGTTCTCATCAAGGAAAATGTGCTTGAAAGAAAGAAATATTTACAACTTTAGCACAAGTTTCTAGCAAATAATAATAGGCCTGGTTGTGTATTTAAGATTTTCAAAAGACGCAAGTCCCTTAATTCCTTAAAGTGATAGTCCGTAACTCTAAATGAATTACAAATTTTAGGAAATGTGTTAAATTGACCTCCTGGCCTTAAATGTTGATATAAAATAAGGCATTTTATTAATTCTGATAACAGGAGCAAGTCCCGCCTTCCCTTCTCTTAGCTATAGTTCAGAATCCACGGTGCCGTCGAGGTTAACCAATCGAGTCATGCCAAGGGCTGTCAATCATCGCGCTGATGCTCGCAGCTGCGCGCATGTGCAGTTGTTTGTTTTCGCGGAGCCTCCAAATCAAGCCTCTATTAGGCTCTGGATCAACATGAAAACTGAACAAAGAATTCTGAACATCCGCGCTGAGGTACTTATGTATATACTGAACCTATATCCATAATCAGATCCTCTGCAGATGTGTCCTATAATGTTCAATTCATGATAATAGCACTTCCTGGTTTGCCGCAATCGCTTTTTTTGTGCATAAAAACATTATTTTTTTCATTAAAACGTTAACAAATAATTCTGAAAACCTCCGTGCATGTGTATTAATAATGTATATGTATAATATGTTCTCTGATTAACATTTAAAAGTGTTACGGAAATGTAGGTGTAGACCAATCAGAAAGGAAGGGGGAGGGAGCTTGCGTTGTTTTTTTCAAATCAAGCACCTCTCTGTCTCTCTTTCTGACAAACTCCAGACAATCACTTTAAATTCGAGATATGATAGGATAAAACATAATTGATCTTGTGAAAAATAGTAATACGTAAACCAGAACACAAAATACACTGTTCAACAATGAACTCACAACTTGCAAAGGAAACTAATGAGCATAGATCCATGCTGTGAAAACATCAGGGGTGAAACTATTATGAAATCTCCACTTTCAACATTAAAA